GTGTCTTCTTGGAAATGTCCGAGCTGGATCAGGAAACCATCGTTGGCCGCATCACGGAAGCGTCCGAAGGCTCGTTCCTCTGGGGGAAGCTCGCCACAAAGCGGGTCCGCTACGAGGAGACTGAGGAAAGCCTCCACAAGGCCGTGGATGCCCTATTGAGTGCCAAGCTTACTCTTGCCGACTTTGTCGTCCAACTTTTGCAAGGACCCAACGTCTCTGAAGATGCAAAGCACATGTTGCTCTGGCTTGTCACAGCCGATCGGCCGCTTCTATTGAAGGAACTCGAGCTTTTGGCCTCCATACAGGTGGACAAGCTCACGGTGGCGGAGCGTAAGCTCGATGTACTGCATGTCTTGAAACCACTCAATGGTCTGGTATTCGTGCAAGATGGTCAGGTTTTTATTCGTCACGGTCTCTTCAGGGCCTCCCTCCTGGAAATTTTTAGCAAGGGCGAACTAGTTTCGACCGTTAAAGACCGGCACGCCGACCTCGTGACTCGCCTGTTAATTTACATCCGGGCAACGGTGACGCAGGAGAATGAACTCTCCCTTGTATCGCTGGACTGGCACGATGCCGACCGCCTCGTCAACAGAAATCCCCTGCTCGAATTCGCCGTCCGCTACTGGGTGCACCATGTTCGGCAAACCTCGGCGTTCACAGCCGAAGGTGAGGTTGCTGCAGCGAAGGAATTCGCCAAGGTGCTACCAGCTTCGATCACGACCCTGCGACTTGAAAGCACGCTGTGGGAAAATACACCTACACCCACGCTGCTGCTCTACTTGACCACTGTCACCAACATCTACCGCCAGATGCTGTCGACGAATCATGTTGTGACTCTTCAGTCCATTATCTTCTTGGCTCTTTTGAACCAGCGGCTGGAATGTATCTCTGAGGCCATTCCTCTGTTCTATGAAGCTTCCACGCTGAGCCGCACGCTTCTGACTTCACGCCATATCGTGACAATGCAGATGGCTAGGACCTTCGTGGAGCTGACCGAGCAGAGAACCACAAGCACCAAGACCGAGATTATGGTCATGAGAGAAGAGGTCTTGGTGCTGTTGGTTGAGTGCTACAAGCGTCACTATGGAAAGGATTCTGAAACTGTGGTCACACTTCTCAGGCAATTGGTCGAGCACTACCGCCTGATTAAGGAAGAGGAGAAGGTCCAAGAGATACAGGCTTCAATTGAGTCCATTACGCACCATCATCGTCATGGTTCCAATGGTGCTAACGGGGAGCTGGAGATTCGTCTCAAAGGCGTCAAGGGCTCTGGCGGGGTGATTGGTATCGGGTTCTCGCTGGACTATGAAGAAGGCGACGAACTGATCCAAGAATCCGAGTCGTACAATGTTGAGGAATGGATCAAGAAGGCCGAGATCTACGTGGCCGAAGGCAAGGTCGAACTTGCTGAGCGTACTTACGTCGAGATCTGGCAGCGAGTGAGCAGAGAGTACCGCACCCATTACTCTGCGTACTGGGAGGAGCTGAAGATGGCCACTGTGTTGGCATACTCCAGGTTCCTTGTCTCTCAGAAAAGACAGTACGAGGCCTCCTCTGTATTGTCAAGCCTGTGGCAAGAGTATGAGCAGGCAAGCATCTCGATCTCCGAAACTTCCGTGTCCTACTTCCAGGAAATCGCCACGATGATGAAGGTCGTTGGTATCTCCGAGGTGGCACTCTCGGTCTACAAACGCTGCTCCAGATACTATGAGAGTGTCAATTCAACCCACAGCTCCACGTATAAGGAGATACAGGAGAGCATCCGGACTACCTCGAAGGAGGTTGTCAAGTCCTTCAGTTCTTCGAGCACGGTCATATCAGAGACGACCATCGAGGAGGTCTTTTACGACGGCTCCACTGAGACCATTGAGGAGTCTTCGTTCACAGCCATGCATCAGTATATTGAACTGTATATTTCGCAGCATCGCTGGCAAGACGCTACGCGCGTGCTCAAAAAGATCCTACGTCTTGTCTGGCCTTCTCTCTTTGCGCCATCGGTGCAGGATGTCAGCCTTCCCGAGAAGCATATCGAGCACTGCGTTGAACTTGCTGCCCGTCTCGGTTTATGCTATCATTCTCGGCGTCGCTTGAGTAAGGAGGAGGACATCCGCTTGAGGGTGTACCGAGCAGCCCGTGCCGAGAGGAAGGTGGAAGACAGGCTGCGTGAGCGCGCTACCACCGAATTGCTTCGTTTCTTCGAGCATACCTCACAGACGGAGATGATCATCAACCTTCGACAGGAGATGCTGAGCGATTATATCGAAGCCTACGGCGCTGAGCATGAGCGTGTTATCAAGACTCTCTGGATCCTGGCCGAGCTAACGCGTCCTCGTCCAATTTTCATCGAATACTACCAGCAAATAATCCGAGCGTTGAACAAGGACTCCCAGGTCTGCCATACAGATGCCATTGAGCCGATGGTCATTGTTGCCACTGAGCTGTGGAATCAAGGTCGCTATCTKGACGCCTTGGCCTACTACAAGATCATTTTCAATACGTTCCTGACCCAGCCCAACCTGGGTCCCAAGTTCCAGGTCCAGGAGTTTGTGCAGGAACTTTTCGAGCGCTACACACGCTGCTTGCGCAGCGTCCACGCAGAGTTCACTGTGCTACACAAGGTCACTGTCGAATACCGAGCCCGGTGTACGGCAGTTTTTGGTGAGACGGCATCTATTACTATCCGAGCGACCCTGACTCTTGCGAAGCTCTGCCAGGAGTCTAAGCGCTTTGAGAGTGAAGCGATCGCTCTCTACGAAGAGCTTCTCAAGATCGAATCCACGGAGCTAGACAGGGAAGAAATCACCGCGACACTGGAAGGTCTMGTTGAGGAACAAACAGAGTCTTCTAGCTCTTCCACTCACAGTGAACGGACTTTCGGGGTCATGCGGAAGCGCATCACCACCGTTCGGGAGACACACGGCTGGGCTCATGAGGAATCTCTGACTCGGATGAAAGAGATGATCACCATCTACACTGAGCGGAAGGAGACTGAGACTGTGGTGCGCGAACTCACCGAGGCAACCGTGCATATTCTGATGTCCGAAACATCTTCCACTCGCTTGATCGCCGCGGCCAGCACCATCGCGTCCTGCTACATTGCAGCGGGTCAGATCCAAAAAGCGGTCGAGCTCTCGCACGAGATCTATCGGCAGATTGTGATGAAAGAAGTCGTCAACGTCGAGACTGTCCAGTTTGACCTCTCCTCCAAGGAGCGCAAGAGCCTCACGTTCTTGGCGCAGCTCGAGTATATCCTTCGGCGCAACACTTCGGTCACGGTGACAGAGATCCTTGCCGCGTTGACTACCGAGTATGTCTACTTTGAGGAGTTCCGGAGACTGATCACGACCAAGAGCAGCTCCATCCAGACGGTCACTGCGTCTGCTGCTCGACTGTACCACTTCCTGGTTGCTAATGACCGGCAAGCTGCGGCCGCCCGGGTCTTTGATGATTTCCTCGGCTATTTCGCCGCCACGGAGGGCACGCGCGTGAACCTGACCGAGACGTCGCGGGTGAAGATCCTGGTCATTACTATCCTGGACCACTTCAGTTCCCATCAGTCGCAAGACTTTGTCCGTTCCATTGGCATTGCAGGCATCCATCGGGTCACGGAACTTCTCAAGGACCAACGTTATGAAGCGGCTTGTGATCTGGCGCTGGCCAGCTTCAAGTACCTATCGGCTCATGATGTCTACCGGAGTGCTGCTATCGTCAAGTTTGCGTTTATCTTGGGTATGACCATTTCTGGGCGCGATGTCGTACCTCGGCTCGACGACGCGATTCGTAAGAAGTTACTGGGTGTGTCCGCTGTCATCATCCAGGACGCTCTCCGCGTCATCGATGAACTCAAGATCGACCTGTCGCAGATCGGCCTCCACCACCTGAACAATCTCATCGGCCTCCTGGGCGAGCAGCAAGACTACCAAACTCTCGCTTGGCTCCTGAACAAACTCTGGAACAGCCGCGAAGCTCAGCGTACCTGGAAGCCATATATCACACTTGCGCTGGGCCGCCGCCTCGTCCTGGCCCGCTACCTCGTCGGCGACTCGATGGCCGCGCTGCGCTTGGCCGAGGACATTGTGTACAACTGCCGCCGCGTGCACGGTGCCTGCCACCCTGCTACACTGGATACCTCTGTTCTTTTGTCACAGCTGTACATTGGCGTCGGCCTGCGGTACCAGTCCCACAAGAACGGACAGGAGATGGCCAACCGGTACTACAAGAAGAGCGCGGCGCTGCACGAGAACCTGCTCCGCATCTTCAGCGACCCCTCGTTTGCCGAACTGGAGTGCGGTCTCGACAACAGCATGAGTCTGGATGACTCCACGTACGACCTTGATATGGGCGAGCCCGTCGGCCACGTCCCCGACGGCGAGAGTGTGCGTCGACACCTGTACCTCCTGAAACTTGCTGTGGAGCGGCTGGGTGATTGGCCCAAGGACTACAGCGAGTATGAGCGGCTGAACGCAGAACTCTTCCGGGAGTTTCCGACTGATTTGAAAGGCGTGGATGGAGTGGAGAAGTGGGATCTGAAGGCATTTGGGGCGGGCAAGGCGGAAGGAAATGCGGATATGTTGGAGACTGAGTTCACGACGTGGGAGTTTTTGGAAGGCCCAGCGCCAGTGGAGGAGTAATCTTTCTTACTTTGTATGTCTGAATTGTAGTCTTATTCTTGTGTTTGTATGTCTTTTTTTTGGGATGATATCAGATTGTTTCACGTGTAGTCAGATGCAATGCAGTATGCAATTATAGTAATACAGCACTCTTCACTACTTCCTTCTGCACGCAGGTCATCACATTATTCCGGTGAGACAAAGAGCTCATTGTTCATTCTCATATATGTATAACATACACCCATCACATGATTTGACTGATATCTAATGTCAAGCAGCTAAATTTCTGGCTTTACTTTTGCTTTTCTTTTTACCTTTACCCCACACTAACCAGCTCACTCTGCAGTACTGCTGATACATATAACAGAAGAGCAATAATCTGGCTGTAATATGGACACAACAGAGGACCAAAAAGAAACACTTCATTCATTATGTGGTCGCACAATTGTCCGAATCAGCAACAATCTTGTTGTGAAATCTGGCAATATTCGGTCCCATGAAGCGCAAACACTTCGTTTCATTGCAGCAAACACGACAATCCCTGTACCCAAAGTTCATGATATCCGTTGGCAAGATGGCCAAGCTGAGTCTATTGTGATGGACTACATGCCTGGCAAGCGGCTCGACGAAGCATGGCCTAGTTTGGATTCCAATCAGAAGCTCTCTATTGCCGACGAACTTCATTCCTATATAAACCAGCTTCGCAACTTGAAAGGTGACTACATCGGGGCCGTTGATCGGGGGAAGGCTATAATTGGACAGTTTTCATCAATTGAAGGCGGTCCATTTGATTCCGAGCAGCAGTTCAATGAGTTCATCCTAGGCGATATCGTGCCATCGGCACCGGATATACTGCGCCATTACGCCAAATTTGCGCTTCTGGATGACCATCGCATTGTGTTTACGCATGCTGATTTCGCTCCGAGGAATATCCTTGTCGAGGAAGGCCGTGTCACTGCTATCCTGGATTGGAAATATGCAGGCTGGTATCCAGAATACTGGGAATATGTCCAGGCGCTTCGGCAGCTGAGGCCGATGAAGGACTGGCCGGAGTATCTAGGGCGGATTCTTCCACCTCAATATGAGAGAGAATACATAGGCATGTCTTTTCTGGAACGGCTTTTGCGGCACTAGAGATACATTATAGATATCGTGTAAATGTCTGGGATAAGGATGATTCACTGCATGCATAACCTGAGCTGGCTACATACAAGATTAGGGCTTATGCATAAGCACTACTGACACACTAATTTAAAGCTTAGTGGTGGAAAATCCGCAAGACTGACTCTGATACTACGTAGTAAGCCTGTAGATGTCAATCTATTACTCCAAATGGCCTAATCTATTCTCGCAGATGTTACCTTATATACAAGTAGTGGCAGTCGTTGTGCGGGGAATCCCCATCCCCATCATTTGCTCCATCTCCCATACGGAGTAAACCATCACCATCACGATGAAACTCCACCACCTCCTTCTGTCCAGCAGCTTTATCTTCACCACATCAACAGCCACGGCCACAGCTGAAGCAGACTATATCATCATCGGCGGCGGCACAACCGGCCTCCTCCTCGCCAACCGCCTCTCCGCAACCCCAACCACCACCGTCCTCGTCCTCGACCCGGGCAAAGACACCCGCACCAACCCCAACGTCACCAATCCGACGCAATGGCTCCGCAACGCACACACAGAGATAGACTGGGCCTACCCCTCCACTCCCCAGCCGCACGCACTCAACCGCACCCTTTCATACACGGCAGGCCGCATCCTAGGCGGCACGAGCATGATCAACGGGATGACGTACCTGCGCGCTGACAGGCCCGAGATCGATGCGTGGGAGGCACTCGGCGCTACCGGCTGGAATTGGGGGTCCCTGTGGCCGTATTATCTGCGGACGGAAAAGTTTAGTCCGCCGTTGGGCTGGCAGGTGGATGCTGGGGCGGAGGATGTGCCTTCTTTCCATGGGAGGGAGGGGAGTGTGGATGTTTGTTTCACGATGGAGTTGTCAACGACAGGATTCTGGGAGAGGGTGAGAGATGCGTGGGGTGGGTTAGGGGTGGGATGGAACAAAGATCCGAATGGGGGGTCGGTTGAAGGGGTTGCGGTGTGGCCGCAGACGATTGATTGTAAGGAGGATGTGCGGTGTAGTTCTGCTAAAGCGTTTTATTATCCTGTTGATGGGAGGGAGAATCTAGGGGTTGTTAGGGGGACAGTCAGAAGGATTCTCTGGGAGGAGGGGGACAGTCTAGGAGGAGGGCATGTGGCGGTGGGAGTGGAGTATCTGGATGAAGCCGGAAAGGTGCAGACTGCTATGACCCGCAAAGAAGTGATATTGTCAGCTGGGGCGCTGCGGACGCCTCCCATCCTCGAAGCATCGGGTGTTGGCGACGCGGTTCGGCTCAAGGGACTCGGGATAGAGACGAGAATCGACCTTCCCGGGGTGGGAGAGAACCTGCAGGACCAGCCGAATGTGGCGCTGCTGTACACGGGCAATCTCAATATCTCGGGGTACTCGCCGTATGCCACGTTTGTAACGGCATCACAGCTCTTTGGCGAAAATTTCGAGGATATAGCTGCGTACGTTGTGTTCTTTCTAACGTTCAAACACACGCTGACATTAACAGAACAACACTCTCCTCCATACCAGCCTGGGCTGAATCACTCGCCTCATCCTCAACAAACAACCTCAACAGCAGCGCGATAAAACATATCCTCACCCTGCAGCACACCCTTATCTTCAAATCCAACGTAACCATCGCAGAAATCCTCACCAGCGCGTCCGGAACCACCCTCCTCTCGGCCTTCTGGCTCCTCCTCCCTTTCTCCCGGGGCAGCGTGCACCTCTCATCCACAGAAGACAAAGACATAGACGCCCCCAGCATCGACCCGAACTTCTTCCAGGTGGACTTTGATCTCCAGACCGAGCTGGCGATAGGGAAGCTGGCGCAAGCATTCTGGAACCAGGGGCCCGCGAAGAGTCTGCAACCGGTTCCCATTCCTGGCAGGGCATTGGAGGGTAATGCAACGGATACAGAATGGACGGCGTTTATTAAAGAGATTTGTGAGTTTGCATGCAACCAGCGAAAGAAAAGTGCGATACTGATTGATTAGTCGGGCCGAATTACCACCCCATCGGGACCGCGAGTATGATGGCTCGGGAGCTGGGGGGCGTCGTCGATTCGCGGCTCAAGGTCTACGGCACGGAGAATGTCAGGGTCGTTGATGCGTCGGTGATTCCGCTGCAGGTGAGTGGGCATCTCACGGCGACGTTGTATGCGTTGGCCGAGCGGGCGGCGGATATCATACTGTGTAGGACATAAAGATTGACAGTTTAAGAAAGATGAAAATGAAGAAGATGCATTCACCGAACTCCATCCAGGTATCCGTAATGTAACAAGTCTAGTAGATATAACATGCTTTTGCCGTCCTGCTTTTGATCTTCAGTGAACGAAGTGCTGCTAAACTGCCTGCAACATATCCAGCATCCCCTTGGTCTGACACGCTTGGTGCGCCATTTCCACCTCCTCGCGCACCCGTCGATGCAGCCGCTCCACCATCTTGTCGATCTGCGCCGATTGTCCCAGGTTCCCCGAGTAGATGTCCAACAAGTTCATGGCGACCTCCACGCACAGCGTCACCAGCCGCGGCTCCGTGATGTTCTTGTGCACCCACTGCAGCACCGGCTGCAGCGTCTCCTCGTCGCGGCCCTGCAGCGCAGCCCGCAGCGCGGAGCGGTGCCGAAGCGCCGTGAACAGCGTCAGCTGCGCCGTCTTGTCGCTCGCCGCCAGCACCTGGTCCAGCGCCGCCGAGTACCGCGCCTTGCGCAGGTCGTACTCCCACGTCTGCTCCTTCTTGCGCTTCTTCTTGTCCTGGCCTTCGATCACGATTTCCACGCCTTCGCCGATGAAATCCCGTCCGCGCAGTCGCTTCTCCCAGCCCGATCCGCGCAACTTCTGCTGCTTGGCAACCTTCCGGTCGTGCTCTTCCAGCTTGCCCTCCAGCAACGCCTGCATCTCCTTGCGTCGTTCGCGCTCCCGGATCTTCTGCTGGCCCGACAACCGGGTCTTGATCGATAACAGGCCAGACTGCATGCCCACGGCGATGTGCTTGTCCTCCCGCGCGACACCAGACGTGATAACCTGCAGCGACAGGATCGGAGACGGGTACTTCGAGCCCGAAACCACGTTCCACCCGGTCGTCTCAAACACCTTCATGTGCCCGTCCAACGCACCACTAAGCAGCCTCTCCCCGTTCGACGCCAACGCCAGCGCCGTCACCGTTTTCTGGTGGCTCTGAATCATATGCAGCGGCTTCCCCGCCACAATATCCAGCACGGCAATCTTATTCTCCGCCGAAGCCAGCAGCGTCGTCCCCGTCGGCATGGGCAACACGCTCTCAATCGGCGCCGCCATCTTGAACGTCATCGCCGCCCGGTTCTCCACCCGTGGATCCCACAGCCGCACCGTCCGGTCGTAACTCCCCGACACTACCAGCCCAGACGCCGCCAGCGAGCCAGGCATGAACGCCCCGCTGCGCACATAGTCCGTATGTCCCAGGAACGTCCGCGCGCTGCTCTCGCTCGGCAGATCCCACAGCCGCACCGTCCGGTCGTCGCTGGCGCTCATCACCGAGGTCGGGTCGCTCGGCGAGAACTTGGTCACCCACACCGGCTGCCGGTGGTCCTTCCACGTCTTCAGGATCGCCCGCGACGCGACGTCGAAGACCTGCACTGTGCCTGTGTCGTCGCCCGTCACTACTACCCGGCCGTCGGGCCGCACGTCGGTGCCGCGCACGGTATCGTCGAAGCGAGTGATTGTGCGGAGGAGTTTGCGGGTGCGGATGGAGTAGATCTGCACGCGGGCGCCGGTCGTCACGGTGAAGACGTCGGGCGGCTGTGTGAGGGATGGAAAGGCGGAGGCGGACGAGGGGGCGGCGGGCTGCGTGATGAGATTGATGGGGCCGTTGGCGGGAGAGGGAATGAGGAGCGGATTCTTAAAGGTCTTCCAGTACTGCTGCTCGGGCGTCAAGCGGGTCGAGGGCATTGCAGGCAGCTTGACCTGCTGGAGGGGGAGGACGGGGGCAGCCATGGCTGCTTCCGTAGTCTAATTATCGCTCGGAAACAATATCAGAATCTCAATGAGTTGAGAGAATACTCGTTCGTCAGTGACTGGTGCGGGGTGGTAAAGCTGTGGTGGTTGAAGCTGGTGATGATCTTGAAGTTTTTTTATCACATCAAAAAAAGTTCTATCGCAACGCTGATTGGCAGATACCACTAGTAATTTATCTGTATTCAATGTGTATTGGGCGGTGTATTAATACATCTCCGGTATTTTATATTTTGCCTGCCTGAGGCACCAAACGGAAGCCCTAATTCTAATAGCAGATGCCCATAATCCATTTCTACAGATAAGCACAACTATTGGAAGTGTATTAATTCTTTGGGGCTTCGAGCCAGTTGGATACTGCCTACCCAAATTCTGGTGACATAGTGGCGAAGGGAAATCTTATACGAAGATCTACAGCTCCAGACGACTTGCTAGCGAATGAACGAGTCAGCGCAATGATCGAGGACACGAGCAGATTGACTCTATTCAAGTGCCATCCAAGGTGGATCACAGAACTAGTGATCAAATTGCCTAGAGGTGGTGCTTCCGCCGACTAGCTGCATTCTATACGACATATTTGAACTCCCGAATTGCCATAAGCAGTAAGACAAACACAGTCAATACTGCAGAAGTGGCTTGCACGGCCAATGAGCCAGCTCAGAAAATAAAAGCAAATATCAATCGACTCAGCTCTGATCTGTCTAATCTGTAAGGGTTTCCAGTTCAATGGGATGCGAGATACCACGCATATGGTCTGTCATTCCCTCTCAAGGTGTCTTTTGCCTTCAATAGTAGATGTCGATCTATGCGGGAGCTTGTACATGTCACTATGTGGCTTACCCATCCCAATATGGCATATTCGCTGCCCAGATTAGAATCGGTGTGGGAATCAATAGACCTACCTAGCTTCTAGAGAGCGAATATAAATACGTCCTCCCTTCCCCCGTGGACAACTGCAGCCGTGCATCTCATCCTCATCAATACATTCTGCATTTGCATTGCAGGCGTTGCCAGACCATCATCATCATGCATTTCTCCGTCCCTGCCCTCGTCACCCTCGCCATGAGCGCTGGCCTCGCATCAGCCGTCAGCCTCCCCTCCACAGCCTGCCTGAAATTCCCATCCGTCATCCAAAGCGTCGACGTCGAGGGCTTTTTCGGCCACGTTCAGCAAGAGATGTGCAACAAAGGCTGCAAAGTCAAGCTGTCCGAGTACGAGCCCAACCTGCGCAACCTGGGCGTTTCCATGATCGAAACCGAAACCTCCAACAGGGGCGCGCCGCAGCTGAGCTCCGCCTACACCAGCGGTATGGACAGCATTCTCAACGTGGCCCGGACGCAATGCGCAGCCGGAGAGGTCGACCTGTGTGCCATGAATGCCTCCGAGTTGCAGTCCCTGGGCAAATGCCTCAAGGCAAACGTGTGGAGGGTCATGCTGGACAACGCCTCGAGCCTGTGGCCGGTTCTGACGACGAATTGCCAACTGCAGTATGACGTCTTTTCGGACCCGGCCTTCTGGGAGGAGACGGTCCCGGCACATTTCCGGGGATTCGCCGAGAACTGCGAGAAGAACTGAGCCGGGGTTGGTGGATAGGGCTCATCGGGAGCTGAAGGGTCTGGAGGATGTCGTCGGAATTGTGGATATTGAGATTCCCCACAATATAATTTAATTGACAGCTTGTAACCTGTGCACTGGACTATTTGAATATACATCGGTAGTTGAACAACTCAGCGTGATGAGCGGCAATTTCTGTCAATCCAGGAATCTAGGTTCAAGTAATATGACGTGGTTCCAAGCTTGACGGGATTCAGAAGCGCTGATCAGAGCTTTGTCTCTGGAGAGTGCCGGCTGTACGGAGTAGGTGGATCATGGCTGCATAAGCGGTGTGACAAGTTGATCATCAATAAATAGAGGATCAGTCAAGCTCCGAGTCAGACGCCACCTGGAGCTATTGACGAGAACACCTTTGCTTTTTCCACCGAGCTAAAAGGTGTCCAGCTTCCAGACAAGCATTTCTAGCCGCGAAGTGGGAATGATAGTGCACCTATGAGGCTACGGTCAAAGAGACTGCTCCTGACACGTCTGCATTGGACATGTCTAATTCGAGACTAAGGAGACAAGATGCCTTCATATTGCCTTTTCTGGTTTCTGTATTCCAGTTGACCTGTATAATAGCATTAGCGTACTAGCATACTTGTAGAGGGCACAATAATCTTCTTCTTTCGCAGTGGCTTTTATTCTAAACACACCAGCACAATTTCTTGCGTCTTCAGTCCTTTCAAGCAGCAAGAGTGCAAGATAGCTGCTCTGCCGCAACGATGTATATAGAGTCCATGATGAAGAAGGCGTTGAACTCGAACTGGACTCGAGACCTGTTGATGAACATCGCCCGACAAGGTCCGATCCCCCAACACATCGCATTCATGATGGACGGGAATCGACAATTCGCGCGAGCGCACGGTATGTCAATTGAGCAAGGGCATAAACTCGGGGGGGCAGCAATGAAAAAGGTAATGCGCCAGGACCAATGCCTAGATTTGAAGCAGTGTCCTGACTGACTGCTGAAGGTTCTGGAAATCAGCTAAAACGCCGGGATCAAGGCAATCACGCTATATGCGTTCAGCATCGAAAACTTCAAGCAACCAAAGGACCAAGTCGAGACCATCCTGGCTCTACTCCGAGAGCAAATGGTCATGTATTCTGCTCCCGGCGGATTGGCGGAGCAGTTCGATTTTTCGATTCGGGTCTTGCGCCGCTTAGAGATGTTGGACGAACAGACTCAGGACACAATCGAGAAGGCGGTTGAAGCGACGCGGAAAGGGAAATCGATTTTGAACTTATGTATGGCGTACACGTCCCGTGACGAGATGACAAGAGCCATGCGACGATGCGTGGAGGAGTATCCTCAGAGAGCCGTCACGGCACATTCGCTATCGGACAAGATGGATTCGGCGGACAATCCGCCTGTGGACCTCGTGGTCCGATCGTCGGGGGTGTATCGACTGAGTGACTTTCTGCTCTGGCAGTGCCACGAGGATACTCGGATTCAGATCGTGGATGCGACGTGGCCGGAGTTTGGGGCCTGGGAGCAGTTTATGGTGTTGCTGAGATGGCAGAGAATGAAAAGAATGGAAATGTCCACCAGAAGGAGCAGCGATTTAGCTATAGCTGGCTCGCAGGTCATGGCCAGCTCCTCTGTTTCATTCTCGCCAGTTGCTTGTGCCTTGCCGCTTCTCTTTTCGTTTCTGAGTGCCCTGTCTTGCTATTGTTTCCTGCTGACTGTATGACCTTTCACCACAAGCAAGCGTAGTGCTATTACTCTAAGCTCATTACTATTTACCATCACGACTTCAATTTCGTCATTATTTCTTCCGAGCCCAAATTGTGCAGCCAATTCAAGTCCCAAAGCTGCAGTTGACCTTTTCATGGTGGGAATCATGAGCGCCGGCGTTGGGAAGCCACCAAAAAGCATAAGAAGGGGCATGCCAGACTTTATGAGCTTGCTATTGAAACCACAGAAAGTTATTGCTCAAAACTATTTGCTGAATACCCATAGATCGGTGAAGAAAAGCAATTATATCCATATTGGTTGTGGCACAGTGGGATGGCAAAGAAGCAAATGATATGCGTACTTGTTTCAGGGGCAGTGCGCATATTCGGGCTATCAAGTTTTTTTGTGTCTGCCTTCTAAGTTCCTTATACTCTTCAGTTTAATCTGAGCATAGCTTAGTTTATATCCTTGTCAGACAGATAGGCAGCGGGAGATCTTCATCTTCCTACCCTATTTCATATGGTTCAAGTGCAAAGTGTAGCATCTCAGTTGACAGATTATTGATCCACTGTCTCGTAGCAGGAGGTACGTTTAAGATTAATTCCCGGAGGATCCGTTGTCATTCCAGCAGAGTGCATTTGACATATCCCTTACATAGATGAACAAGGCAGGCTTGTCCTGTCATGCGGATTGAGCATGACACATAACATTCCACGCATACTCCACCACTGCCAAGCAGGAGGTGTTCAAAGTCGACAGAGAAGACTTTCAGTCTGAAAGTTGAAATTGGAAATAGATGGCTCCAGAACTGACCTACCTCTTCTCTACAAATCTCGATGACGCTTCCGGTCAAGACTAAGCCTCTTACCCGATATCTTTCCATGGCGTAGTCCATATATAGTCTCTGCAAAACAAGTAACGCGACGGCCAAGCATGGCCCGACGGCGCACAAGGCTCGATTCATGCGGAATCATACCCAACCGGCCCCGCATGTTTAAGGATAGCGGAGCAGACACTGATCAGGCAATATAATTTCTTCAGTTAACGTGCCGAGTCGAATCCACTGTGTTGTGGCTGTGGGATGGAGTTGGACAGGCAGCAAGATTCTGGTTCTAATTGCGTCCGTCAGCTTGCGTATACTGGCATATGAGTATATTCGGAAGATGACCGGGCTGCCTCGTATCTTTGATCTTCTCGTTCATGATCTCGTATAATATGGATAGACTGAAAGTCTGGTCGAGTAAAGCTTTGTGGTTAGGACTGTTGTTGTTGTTTCTATAAGGTGGATTTATGTGCCCAAAGGCTGCAAGGCGATCATTGTGGAGAACTCATGTGGAACTGGTAACAGTCAGGTATTAGGTATTATTGCTGTCTCAGTCTGGCCGATGATCGTCAGCATCTGGAACAGTCTCCCTGTCTCTACACTCCATACAATCCTAAGTCAGAAACATTGGATTATAAGCATAGTCTGCTACGGATATAAATTCCTTTATTACTCCGTACAGAGAATAGGATCCTCCTTTTCGAGGTGGTCAGTACGAGCTGGCTGGCGTGAGACATGTCAGTGTCGATTGTGGCTGGGAATTGGAAGCAGGGCTAAAATACCGTAAGGCTGTATTCAGATCGGAATTTCATGCAGGAACAGCTTCCCTCCGCCAATCATATCTCCCAGATAGATTACTACCAGCCTCCTCCCAGCCTCCCAGTACATCGACCCAACCAATCACAGACGTGGTCGGCGGATTACGACGTATGGGTTATCGCGATCGTGCCCGCTTTTGCTTATCGCCTTGTTTTGGCTGCCCTTCGTCCTCCTCCTCCTCCACTTTCCCTGTCAGCTCTTCTTCATCTTTCCTCTCTTCTCTCCTGCATCATTCGCAAGTCAAGCGAGAGGTGACTTGCTCGTTTATCATCCGCTTCTCGCTTGGCTTCTTTCTTTTTTTCCTTAATTTCCAACCTGCAGCATTGGTCTACAATCTTTGCTTCCGATTGATCAACACTCTCTTGACCTTCACTAAGCCCCTCAGTCACAGAACCACTACACAGTCTTCCGTCAATTGATGGTCATATAGCTTTTCTAAATCCCATTCAATCCTGTCCCTGGAGTGAACTCTCTTTCGGAGAGAAAGGTGCCATCATGGCGTCGAAACTACCCAGGATAACCAATATCAACCATGCGGCTGGCATCTATGCTGACATGTCGGTGGATGGTCCCGCAATCGGCACGCTGGTCGCCGTCATTGACCGTGCGAAGAATCTGCCGAATAGAAAGACTATGGGGAAACAGAATCCATACTGTGCTGCGCGGTTAGGGAAGGAAGCCAAGAAAACAGAGACTGACCTGCGAGGAGGGCAGACGCCGAAATGGTATCGCCCTATTTTCCCTTGAGCGGTCGAGCCAAAGCTAATCTCGATTCAGGGACCATGAKCTTCGATTCACAGTGCACGAATCGCCCGACTACTTCCGACTGAAGGTATCGATATTCAACGATGACAAAAAGACCGACCTGATCGGCGAAACCTGGATCGATCTGAAAGATTTGATCATCCCCGGAGGGAGCCAGAGCGACCAATGGCATCCGCTGCAGTGCCGAGGAAAGTATGCTGGTGAAGTTCGCATCGAGATGACTTACTACGATACCAGGCCAGAAGACGAGGCGGTGATTGAACGGCGAATGCAAGCCGCCGAAAAGGTCCATGCCAAGAGCAGTGGTTCGAGAACGACCCCGGCCGCTCCTGTCAGCTCCTCGTCTTCTCTGTCGGGCCCTCGCCAGCTCGAGAAGGTCAAGAGACGGCCGCTTCCTAGCGACCCTACCGCCTCGACTCCCGCGCGTCCGGGGCCCCCCGAAAAGACTCCCTCGGCGCCTTTGCCGTATCACCCTGCTCCAGTGAGACCAGTTCATCACGAACATGCTCATTCCGTGCCTGCCATGAATGGCGCCGATCACATGCGCTATTCGCAAAGGCAAACACCTGAGGCTCCGTACGATGCATATGCGTCCGCGTCGCAGCCTCCGCCCCCAGCAAAGGTGTATGACACGCCTGACGACTTTCATCGAGAGTGGAATCACGCGGCCCCGGTCCATCCCGCACCAGCACCTCTAAGGCGATCTCCACAGGAAGAGAGCTATCCGTACCGTGAGAGACCTGATGCCTATGACAATCGGCAACATGCACGACCGCGTTCCAGCTATGGCAATGGACCGGCTCCGGATTACCGCTCTATGCCAACGAGCAGACCAGAGTACCAGTCCCAACCAGGGCCGGACATGCACCCAAGACATGCATACGAATCGACTTCTCGCCCCACCAGCCATCACAGCAACCGCCAATTCCCTGTGCCAGAACAGTACGGATATGAGGGAGACGCTCAACGTCATGGACACGAAGTTGCTCAATACTCCCCTCATTCATCTACGAGATCGTATAATCACTCCCCCGTGGATTACGCGCATGGCGCTCCTGCTCCGGTCCCGGAACCGGAACACCACTACCGTCTGCACAGCAACTCGGTAGCGAGCAGGCATCGCAATTCCATTGCACACGAGAACTTCCACCCGGAATATGCAGCAATGCAGCCCCGCGTGGACGACGAAGAAGAGGAGGGACCTCCACCTCCGCCCCCAGCCCATCGGTCAGGCCTGGTCCAGCCGAGTCAACAGTTAGTACCGTCACCAGCTTCCTCGTACAAGGCTTACTCTCCAGAGTTTGCACCGTCCCCCCGCAATACCAACGATATGACCGCGCTCCAGCCGCTCCGCCCGTCGCACGGGAACCGCCTACAGGACCACCCTCGTATGAAGAATCCATCGGTGCCGCGCAGCCTGGTCGCCGGCTTTGACCCGGCCATTGCCGAGGTGGAGGCTGCCCGTGCTGTACACGAAAGCCAAGCGAACCGGCGGCGTAGCTTCTTCGAAGAGGACGCCATGATCCAGACTACCGAATCGAAGCCTGCTTCACTACCTTACCCTAACGACACCGATCCCCGTGGTTCCTTGATTCTTAGGAAGTCTGTCAGTTCCGAATCTCGCATCGTCCCGCGGCGCAAGTCGGTTAGTCCGCGACCACCCTCCACGGCGGAACGCCAGGTGTCTCAGATCCCCTTCTCGCCAGACTCGTACGATGCGCTGAATCCAAACGCGGCGCGGTCTGCCGTCACCCGCGACACAGCACCAGCGTATGAGACAGTCGCGCAGGCAATGCAGGCGGCCCGGCTCAATGAGATGAAGCCCGATACCTCAGGACCTATCATCGGTGACGATGGGCGCGAGATCGATCCCTCGGATCATCTTCCTTCTGAGACTTGGGCGCCAGAACCGGAGCGCAAGAACAGAAAGCCCGAGGTGATTCTCCGCTTCAAGCATCCTTCCGCCAGGGACGTTGCGGGAGCGCGACCCCGGTCCAGCGGGACATCCGGGACATCGCCTGGTGCGGAGTACCCGGAGCGTGGTCGCCAGGAGTACGGAGGATATGGACATGGACGAAACTATAGCGCGACTGACTCGGCACGGCCGCGATCTTCTCACCGAAAGTCTGTCTCGCCAGCGCCGAGTGCGCGCTCCTCGCACTCCGTTTCTAGCCTGTACGCGCCCGTCAATGTCGGGCCACCCATCCCGGCCAAAGTACCCATTGCACCTCCAGCGGGCCCAAGCTACCCCGTTATGGGTGGCGCCACGGGCATGGATGCACTCAGTCGGGAGCTGAACAGCATTGACCTAGGGTCTGTGGGATGTAGCGTCGTCCGAGCGCCGCGAAAATACGTTCCCAAGACGATAACGACCGGCTACGCTATGTGATTATGGACTTTACGAGAGCAACGGATAAATTGCGAGCATACGGACAATTTGCAGAGCATATGGACAAATTGCAACAATATGGCGTTGGTTGATTTACGCATGTAGGAATCGCGTCTTGTGCCCATTACTGCTTGTAGCTAGTGAATACATGATCAAACAATTCTTTATCACATGTCATCTGAGACATATTCATCTATAATGTCTACAACAATGGGATAGACAACGACCCAATAACGTATATAACATATCCCACCCACTTCCTCTTCCCATTCCAATGCATCCACCAACCATGGCCCCCAAACCAACACCCAAACCCAAAGCAAAACCATCCAAACGATCCCCCCATCCCACTCCAAGACAAGAAAAAGAAAAAGAAACAGAACCCCCCTGCGAATTCACCCACCCCTGCACAACCTCCACCTCTCCCTCAGGCAACGCCAACGCCTCCGGCAAGGGCGGGACCCACCCCCGCAAACTAATCTCCCACATCTTCGGCCGCAACAAGACCGCCACGAAGCTCTTCCCGTCCCACGTCTGGGTCCACTACTGCCGCAAGCACTACCAGCGGGCGCGGTACCGGGCGCGCGCATGGCCGTTTACGCAGTGCGATCTGTTGCTTGATAGTCTGGCGCGCATGGAGGCTTGGGGCGGGGTAGAGAGTTTTGAGGTGGTGCTCAGGAGGAGGGAGGTTGTGAGGGTTTCTTCGTCCTCATCCTCTTCTTCTTTGCAGCAGTCCGGTACTAAGGAGCGGGTGGGTGAGGGTGAGGGTGTGGATGGGTTGGGTTTGAAGCGTGCAAGACGGAATACGACCTCTGCTTCTACCTCTGCGTATGTTTCTGGGGATGATGAGGAGGAGCATGGAGATGCAGAGGAGGAAGAGTCATCAGACGATGGAAGGAAAAGAAGACAGAGACGCAAGCCGCGGATCAAAGCGTGTCCTGTTCCCGAGTGGTTGCGCGCCGAGACAGGGCCTGGGAAGTCGTTTGCTGAGATCCGGGCCATTGTTGAGCGGATTCGTGCGGATCTGACGGAGCAGCATCAGCGTTGCCAGATGCAAAAGACAAACACCAAAAGTCAAGAGCAGGTGTTGTTTCCCGATATTGAGATTCTGCCGACGTTTCGGGAGTGGGTTTTAGAGCAGGCTAATGAGGATGGGGAGGGCACAAGAAAGATGTCAAGGGTGAGTAGGAAGGGAGCGGTGCAAAAGGCACAAAGGTGATCCAGTAATGGATGCGTTCTTCATTAGCATTAATCGTGACGCCTGTAGGCTGTAGTACACAACGCCGCAAAGTATCAAAAGCCCACAACGTAAAAGTAAATAATAACGACTTGGCGAGCCCTGCTGCTAGATGAGTCTCAGAAATCAACAAATACAACATTCAGTCACGAATGATCCGGAATCAACTCATAACCCCCCTCTGACGGAAGACTATTCCCTGCAAGTATCATGGCCATCGCGCAGAAAAGACTCACGCACCAGCTGACGGTGCAATAAATCCAGGACTCGCCCAGCCGCCAGCCGACAAAGAAGCGGTCCTCATTGTCAAACAAGTATGCCTGTCGTGCCCGTGTCAACTACGGAACGAACGAGGATTTGAGATAAGGACTTACGACAATCGACATACTCGCTGCCTGCACAAGCGCAGACAGGATAATCAGCAGACTCAGCACCTTCCACCCCGACTCGCGCAGCCGTTTCCCGCCCGACAGGACAATCAGATACGAAACCACGCTCATCCCCTCCAGCACAACGGCAAACGACATCAGGAACCCGACGGTCCGCCACATGGAGCAAAAGTACCGGTCTTCGCCATGGCAGTCTTCGCGCTGGGGGAAGCTCTCGCAGACGTTGGTGAGGGAGGAGCAGCGACGGTGGAGGCCGTAGGAGTAGTGGAACTAGCCAGAAGTCAGTCCAATCCAGCCTGTCTTCAAACCCGCAAGATTGTATGCCCACCTTTTCGCTATGATAGCTGACCCATTTCGGGACGACGATGGATGAGATCGTCAGGCCGAATGCTGTGGTATGTTAGCTTCCAACCAGTCGCCAGCGTAATGCATGAGATCGAAAGTACCAGCAAGAAATAAAACTAAGGTGGAGGAGTAGACGATGGTTTTTGTCAAGAATCCTGTGTAATTCTTGTCTGTTCCTCGAGGGACGAGATGGAAATCCATTCCTGCGTACGCGGTCGAATTGACCTGGCCAAGGAGGATAGTGTAGCAAGGGCAGCGGGCGATGACGACACTGCCGTGGTGGTCGCAAGGGGAGGGTCAACGCTCACTGACCGGCAGCGAGGGTTGTTACTCAACTGGTTTATGGTGTAGAGGTGAGTAAGTCGATGCGACAAGAATGACTGATAGTATTGATTGAGAAGAAGGGCTCGAGTGTCGAAGCTGGAACCCAAAAGACGGTTACGTGGTGAAACAAGACGATCAGGCAGGATGAGATGAGCGAGGTGGGGAATCCAGCTCTGATATCGACAATTCAATTTGTGAGTATGACAGGATTATCTAGGAAATAACACTAACAATAGTAATGAAAAGACAGGACTTGGTATGCGGTCGTTCAAATGATGGAAGAAAGTGGAAACGGTGGCAGTTGAGGAAACTCCCCGATAGTCGATGTGGCTTGGAAGCAGGCATATATCAAGGCAGCGTCATAGGTAACATTATTATTACACAAAAGTACGACCATCCCACTCGGTCGCCTCTTATCATTCGACAGGAATCACCGCAACCGTAGCCAGGTATGTATACAGTACTACCTACTCCCTGATTAATTAAGATATATCCCACTTATGCTGGTCAATGGTCATGCACTCCTCCAAACTAAATTCCTCTGTCCGAATGACCCGCCGATCAACCGCGCCATTATCATTCCCAATTCCCGTCCAATCATCTCTCTTTCTACCTGATCTAGACTCGCGTATAATCTTGCGGTCTGTCGCAGAATAATAGTAGGAATACGGGGAACGGCTGGTCTCAGACAGTCCAGTCACTCTAAACAGGCTTATCGGGTCGGTCAAAGCGTCCGTCATTGCGGGGGTTGCATAGCGTAGCGGATTGCGGGAAACAGATGAATTAATCTTCAAGGATGCCAGGTATACAGTTGTATACAGTTGCGCTATACTGAGGAAAGTTCTGTATGACAGAGATAGCTATGTCTTTCAATTGATCATATAATGTTGCCTGCCACTCAGTCATGAAACAACAAGTCCAAGTCATAGCAGAGGCAGTATTATCAGCAGCCATCCCCCAGCCCGCATATGACTGCGGTACATCCCCGGTCAACGGTCAGGTACAAGAAGAAGAATCATTAGGTGGACAACATGTCGACGCAGACAAGAAACAAAAAGGAAACGCAGGAAAAGAAGTGTAATGGTAATCTACAGACGCCAAAAGAGCATCGCGCGCCTTTCCATCAGGCGGGGCGTAGAATGGCATGATCAAGGAAACCGTCACGAGAGCAGAAGGAACTCTTCCGCTCGGGTCAACATGGCAGCGGACCGTCCAGAAGAGGGACATCAATGGAAGGAGAAAGGGGAAAAACGCCAACCCGGTCATTACAATCCGAAGCGCCGCGCACAGTGTTTACTCTCATTCGCCTCGATTCCGCTGGATCATGGCACGGAAATCATCATTACTCTTCCTCGTCTTCTCACCGCCAACTGGGTGAGCGCTGCTTTCTGTCGTCACATTCGTGGTCGTCATCGTCGTCGCGCTTTTGGCGCCTTCTTCGGCTTTCGTGCTTCCCCCCTGCGAGGCTGTCGATGGAATGCTGACCCGCTTCACCCCCAATCCACCTCTTCGGCCACCGCGCTGACCGGGTTGCACAGGACGTTTGATCGGACCGGTCGGCTGGAGGAATGTGGCCTTCTCCTTCGACTTTGTCGCCTGACCGGGGCCCGCCTTCTTCTCCGCTGACTGCTTCAGCATTTCCGAAACCGTGCCCACATGCAATCTTCGACCCGGAGCAATTTCCTGTCCTTCAAGTTCGAGCGAAGCCTTGCCGGCATGGTTAACATCCGCAAATTCGACAATAGCCCCTTGATGATCGGGGCGCAAGACGATTTTGATGAGCGGTCCATAAGGCTCCACCAGTGCACGGATCCGCGCATCATTCACCGTGTCAGGAACGTTCATGAGCCCCAGGGTCCGCGCCGAGCGCTCCTTAGCTGCGCCTTCAGGCTCGACTGATGGCGCTTTGGTCCCATTCACCTCGGCTGCAGGGGATTGTGATGCTCKGACGCGGCTCACGATAGTGGTTGCAGTTCGCTTAGCACCTTGGGGGGTCGAGATTCGGACTTGTAGCGGACGCGAGCGGAATTCCTGTTCATGCATGGCAAGGGCGGCTTCTGCCTCCTCCTATTCGAGAGATTAGCTGTGGAACTCAGTAGCCGGATGGCCAGGAAACATACTTTGGTGGAGAAGACAATATAACCAAACCCTTTACTGCCACCATCGACCTTTCTTGGAATCCGCACCGTCTCGATTGTGCCATACTTTTGGAACACTTCCTTAAGGTCAACCTCATTGGCTTTCCAGTCAATGTTGGAAATATGGATCTCCCGCCCTTCGTAAACAGGTCCATGACGGTCCTCTCTACGCGACGGATCTGAGATCTTGACTACCAGGTTGAGATCACTTCCAACCCGGGTGCCATTCAGCTTGGTCGCGTTATGGGCATCCCCAGATGATTTGAACTGCACGTAGCAGAATCGTCGATGAGTGTTGTATTTGAGAGATGGGAAGCGTATATCGATAATCTCGCCGTACTAAGACTGGTTAGTGTCGCATTACATGGAGCTGTCGGGCAGGTGCCTACCTCGCGGAACAGATTTCGGATATAACTTTCATCGGCTGTCGACGGGAAGTTCGTAACGAACAAGGTGGATCCGGAACCAAGATGAACCTCAATAGCGTTATCGTCAAGCAACTTCTGATCGCGAGTCTGAGCCACAAGAGCTTCCTCTCTTGTTTCGAACTCAATGATGGCGGTCTCGGAGTTTCCATCATCGCCGGGCAGCATGTTCAAGCCATTGATTGTCCCGCACTATCCACGTTAGATGAGGAAGTGAAGACAAGCGGAAACCAGGGGAAAACTTACATGACGGAAGAACTGTCGCACTCGGTGTTCAGTAATATGGTGTGGCAAATTCTTGACAACCACTGTGGCATTTTCGCGGTCGCGCCGGAGTGCGACAGGCTCAGGTTGCGCCGCAGTGGGTGCTGGTGCTGGTGCTGGTGCTGGCTCCTCGGCACGGGCCTTCTTACTGCTGGGAAAGCCATTTACTCCAGTGTCATCCTCGCGCTTACGCTTCTCTGCTTGAGATGCAAGATCGGCCGCCGTCGCCTGCTGTTGCTGCAATGCTGCCGCTTCTCTAGCCTCCTTTTCTCGCCGTGCGTTGATGGCCTTCATGGCTTTCCTGGTCTCCAGTACAGCCTGTTGGAGTTCGTCCGAATCCTCGTAATCTTCACAATGCGCGACGTAGACCTGCATGATCTTCTCGGGCCAATCCAGGTCTGTCCGCTTGATGGCCTGTTTCAACACGGCGGTTGCAAAGCTGGGGTTGGGAGTCCGCCGAGCGGCATCCGCCGTCGCTTCTCCCTGCACAAATTTGCTCCACGAGATCAGCTCCCAATGGTAGTAGGTGAGCCAGAATTCGTAACTATTGCCACGGCGACCAACGAGCCCCTTGAAGGTTTCGCGTGCACTGTCCCAACTGCCGCTTTCGCTCAGGTAACGGATGTAGATGCGTTCGAGACGGAACAGCGGATCACCCTGGTATGAGCGACCGTACTTCTTCTCACCGAGTTCCTGAACACTTTCGATGGCGGATCGGATGCCAACCTCAGCAACATCCAGGTCCTCATCGGTCGCATCTGAAAGAAAGGCGCGCCGACGAAGGTAGCTGCACCAGGCGGTATGGACTTTCAGTACCTCCTCCATACCACCGGCGTCCAGCAAGCCAGTACTTGTGGCTTTGTGTTTGATGTCAGCGATCTTCTGGAAAGATTGTCCTTCCCGCTCGGAGCTTAGGAGGTACTGCGACCAAAGGGTGCCAGAGCATGGGCAATGCCTGGTGGCTCTTTCGAGCGTCGGTATTGTGGTCGCTCTCGCGTTACCGTGCGTATTCTGGTCGATGAGGTACATGACGTAGTCCTCCCAGAGGTTGGAGTCTGTCGGGAAACGTAGGACTGCACGCTGGTAGATGGCGTTCACAAGGTCGAAATTCGACTGGCGTTTCCGCCGGTGTCGGCTCACTTCCCATTCAATGTACTCCGAGTACACCGCCCACTCCAGGCCAAACTCCCCAGCATCGACGGCATTGCGCAACTTGATCTCTAAATGCTCCCGCGCGTTGTACTTCTCTTTGATTGGCGTAGCAAGTCGGCCCGCCGTGTCAGCCATGATTTCCTCGTAGTTTGCGTTGTAGTATGTCGACACGAATCCCGAAAAAGCCTGGAAGGTCTGGTCCCAGGTAGCATGCGGGGTTTGCAATCGGACATCGAAGAAGCTCTTCACCTGACTGGCACGTTCTTGCGATGGGCGACGAGAAAGGTCCTGGACTTGCAGATCCAGAAATCGATCCCAGACCAGATGGCTATCGTGAATCCTCCATCGAGTTGCCTCGGCACCTCGCTGCCACACATCCAAAACTGATTGCCAKGTAAAGACCTCACGACCGACCAGCTTGTCCTCCTCGGACCACTGGTTCGAACCAGTGTCCCCGTTTGCAGAGTTGTAGAGGTATAGTACCCATTCACCGTAGATGGTCCATAGCTTGGTACTACCGTACTCCTCCTCGATCGATCGCTGGCAGAGTTCCATCACCGCGATGCGTTCCTCAACCGATTGCGCCAACATACTCTCGTCCTGGATCCACTCTGCCCAGAGATCCTCACCCATGGCGAAGAGCTTGTCCATCTCCTCCCGTGCAGTGCGCATATCCCTAAGGAGATCGTATTTTCGTGGGTCGCCGTGGATTTCCGGATTATTAGGCGGGTAAACATGGTTGACAAAGCCCTCGTGCAGCAGGCGGATAAAATTCACGTGCGCCTCGTAAATATGCGGATTGTCTTGAATCTGGGCGAAGAGCTCCGTCGCCATCCTTTGAGCATCGGGCCGCAAAGAAGTGTCAGCATAATTCCTCCGAGCAGCGCCTTCCCTCGGACCCTCCGACATTGCGATGTCAAATGAAGTTCTGGGAGTAGGCGTATTGTGAGAGATCGGGTTGACGTGAGGGTACATCGTGGATGGCGACAGTTGGCTTTCATAGGACTCGGTACCCCGCAAAATGGAGTTATTGGAACGCTGGGGCTGATGATGTTGCATTGACGCCAAATCTGCGAGGGTATCCATGCCTGGCGTGGATGCTTGTCGGGATGGAGGCAGATCAGCGGACAGAGGCGTGCCATTTCCTCCTCCCATGCTCGGACCAGCACTTGGACTACTCGTCGCCGGCGGGGAAGGGTCGTTTAATTGCGAAGGGGCATATACGTGATGCGCAAGAGGAGATGAAGTCATGGCTGGCCGTGCGGAAGTTGTGCGACCTTTCCGTAGCGGCTTATTCGGTGGACGTGAGGTCGCGGCAGAAGCATTGTTGGCAGACATCGATCCGTTTCCAGGGGTTGAACGCCCAGATTGAGGATTCGAGTCTGGCGAAAGAAGTGAGTTTATATCCATAGTGTAAATTTTTTTACCCAAGGCTTTAATGATGGTAGAGGAAGGCGAAGTTCAAATGGAAGTCGCCAGCTAACGCGCCGGCGCGGACGCAAACCTCACGAAAAAAGAAGAGGAAGAAAAGAACGAAATGGATTCGAATTTTAGAGGATAACTGATGATAGCCTCATCAACGAGTCCATTCCTGCTTTGGCCAGAGCCTCGATCGCGACTCAGGTAGCAGGACTTTTGTCGGTCCTTTCAAGCGGTGCGGAAAAGTTGAAACCACAAAGGAAAAGAACTGCGCGAATGAAGAGGTCAGGACCGAGGATGCTTCCCTCCACGTGAGTAAATTTCCCCTTGTTTCGGTTCTCTCCGTTTGTTTTCCCTTTTGAGTAGTTGATTGTCGACTGTATATGTTGATGCTTGAGGATAGAGACGACAAGGATTTCTGGGACGGAAAATGGAACGATCGGGGAGAGCGAGAAAGCCGAAGGGGAGAGAGGAGGGGGACCAAGCTATCCAGGTCGAGAGCTAAAAGCGGGTAAGCGGCGGTCACGATGACGGGAAAATATGGGGAAATAGAGACCTACAAAAGGACAGGCGACAAGAAAGAGGTCGAGAAAAGCGCAGGGCAGCAGAAAAGACCAGAGACTGATGGAGAAAACAGACAGTCGAACGAATCTCGTCGAGGGTTCTGAAGAAGAGCCTGATGGGAGTAGGAAAAAAGAGCTCTTAGCACGGGATAGATACCTGAGGTACCAACGAGTACTATGCGACAACAAGCGCAGTGATCAGCCACCTAGCTCAGGAATGAGCGCTTGAACAATCTCAAGGCTTTAGCTAATATCGTCGACCAGAAATTTGAACTACGGTAGGATTGCCGTACTATGCAGGAGCTTTGGCGCTGATTACTACGACAGGTTCTCGACTCCTTTCGATCGAGCGGATTGTGTAACCGACGGTTTAAAAGACATGATTTGTTGCTCAGGCCATTCCGATCGATTGGGTACGACAGCTGCCTTGACATAGTAATTAAGATCTATAGATCTACAGAACGCTATTTACAAGTTGCTATGGATGAGAAGAGGAGTTCCCTGCTGCTCGATTTCATTTCGACAACGAGGCCTGCCTGATGCTGTTTTACGACTGGAGTTGAGCATCATCACGTGCCCATGATCAACAGCCACTTGCATTGCCCTGTGCGCCGAGGAGGGCGTTCCCTTCCCTGTTGTGGACTTGTCGGCTGAATCTGTTAGTCAACAGTCGAGAATGGTGGATATGGATGTCTGAGTTGGCCAGTGGCTCGAATCACCAATCATCCACATCCCATTTTAAGGGTTGCAAACGATCGGACAATGGTTGAGTGAAACAGATGAAGCCATGACGACTCAGGTATAGGTATTCAATGTTGAGTACACTGGTTGTCTATATTTCAAGCAATCACTGCATTTTGCACCTAGGTGGTCAAAATGCTCCGCACAGCCACGTATATCATACAAAATAGAGGCAGATAATTGAGGGCTGCCGCTTTAACCGACAGCAGCAGAAACTACCGAGACTAGTCAGATGATGAGGTCATTTTGCATGGAGAGGTAGTGGTAGTGCTCTACTACCAAAGCGCTTAGAAACTTAGCAAGGTGCTAGTCTACAGGTAGATTAGACTAGCTGCAAGCAAATCGCAAAAAGTGGCCGAACTTGCAAGGAGTTAGGACGCGCCGGCTGAGAGCTAAAAAGTTGCTGCCGTCGGTCAAGCCTCAAAGCAAACAAATGTGTGGCTTGATTCCTTAGCCACATTGTACGGTAGACCATGTCAACCCACTCCGCAGCCAAGAAACGCGGATCATGTGCTCTCGACTTTCCGAATGCAATTTTCCCTTCAGTCTCCGAATATCAGGCTCGACCAGCTCCGGGGGTTGTTTAACGCACGCTTGTCATGGCCACAATGGGTGTTGTATATCCCTACGGGCAACTGATCCGGTCAGGTAAGTCACTATCTTCCCAATTGCTTTACCCGTTACCTGTAATATTCTTTTTGACCCTGAAACATTTGTGTAGCCCGGACAGGCGTTGCTCTTGTCCCTCGACGCACCCTGACCTATTCCTTCCCTCGCCGTGCTCAGGATGACGGTAGCAATGGGCCTAACGACAAACCGGAGGAGCAATCCAAACCGTCTGCCTTGTCTTCCATCAAAAATTTCTTCTTCGGCGGCAGGTCCGAGACCGCAAAGCCGAAAATCACCCGCAGAGCAACAGCCCCTCCTAAGCGTGAGGGTTCATTGAGTGCAGACTCGATTTTCGCCGAAGACGAAGCAACGCCGAAGCTTATTGCATCTGGTCGGACACCAGCAGCACGCAAACAAGCCACCGAAGCGGCGGAAGGCGAGGAGGAAGCCAACCTCGAGGTGGAAAACCGAAACCGTGTCAACATGGCGACCGTGCTCGATCCTCGTCCGAAGGCAAGGATGCGCTGGGAGCGCAAGATGATTGTTCGGGAAGTACGTCGTCGGGGGCGTCTAACGAAGACCGAGCAGATCCTGCGGACGGAGCGCGAGTCACTGTCCAAGTCCCATTGGTTCAAGACGTCCGTGAAGAAGCTGGGACCCCTCGCGCGTCAGATCGCAGGAAAGAATATCGACGAGGCTATGTTACAGATGCGCTTCAGCAAGAAGAAGGTCGCCAAGGACGTTCTTGAACACCTCGAGCACGCGAAGAACGTTGCCATTGTTCGGTCAGGTATGGGTCTGAGCAACTCCACAGAACAGAAACCCATCACCATCACTCTCAAATCTGGTGAGCGGAAAAAGATCACCAACCCTACATCAATCTACATTGCCCAGGCTTGGGTCAACCGAGGTCCATACGGAGTCGACTACGACCATCGCGCTCGAGGCGTGATTAATCGGCTGCGGCCCCCTTACACTTCCTTGACTGTCTTGCTCAAGGAAGAGAATACCCGGATCAGAGAGTGGCAGGATCGTGAGGCTGAGGCACTGCGCAAGCGGAAAGCCCAACTCTGGACCCAGCTTCCGGACCGGAAGATCACCGCCCAGAACCAGTACTATAGCTGGTGATCGACTCGTTCGCTTCGTTGTTTTATAGCCATGACCAGGCGATTTGATGGGTTGTTATCGGCGTTGTTCGTTTCCTTGTAATTTTCCTAGATTTCTGAAAGTACTCTCCGTCGAGCGGATGTTTCAGCGTTTCCTCTCCCACATCTATCTACCCTTGGTGATGCGAGGTCAATGGCTTGCCAACACCGTTTGTGGTCTAAAGAATTGAGCCGATAACGGGTTCACCTTGTACAATACTGAAATATACATTTCTGGACGCATCCGTTTTCCCTACAGTTACTAAAGTTGGGTACCTTTAGAAATTTGCCCTTGTGACGTCTTCTATTTCACCTGAACATCGACACGTGTATGCGTCCTTTTCCATGGGTCACAATTAATCATTGTCAACCACCTACACTAGGCAATTAATAATTTCCCATCCTTCTCACTGTCTTGTTCTGAGTTGGAAGAATTGGATGAACGGATGAATATATCTGACCTGGTCCAGTCTGGCTGGCAATTGATTGCCCCACACGCTGCAGGGCCCGCCGCCAATGAAGCGCACGAGCACTTCGATATGGTCCCCCTGCGTCCCTCCAGAGCTCGCCCACCCAGGCAGGGCAATGAGCTAGAATATCAGCCTCTAAGTGAAAGTGAAAGGCCGAATCCGAATCATCCTAGGGCACTTGGCTTCCAACGGTTATTTCAAATATCCTTCATCATGTACGTGCTCATACCTCGACGCCTTTTCCCCTACTAACACCACCCAGACCATTACTGCTCGTAATCACTGTCATTGTAGCTGGGTTGATGATGATGGCTGAATCAATTACATCTGAATCGCATCTCAGATTGAGCACTGTGACCGGGTATTTCTTGCAAGATGAGTCGAAGACTGATGCAGACAGTTTCGATTATGTGAGCTGTTATTGAAATATTAGCGTCACCTACGGACCTAGCTGATGATGGCCAGGTCACATCAAACTTTGGCCTAATATCTCGAAGCTATGACTCGGACACCGAGTTTGATCCAGACGGTCGCAGAACCCAATGGGAGCGGTTCGAGTACCATATCAACAAGCTCAATGCAGAGAGTGGTCCTGAGACAAGCTACAGACTGCTCTATCTTGGCCGACATGGAGAGGGATACCACAATGTCGCCGAGCGCCGCTATGGGACAGAAGCATGGGATGTAAGTATTTCCACTGATACACGGCTACCTGAGGCTGTTTATAAGAACTCGATTGATTGACAGTTCTAGTGCTATTGGTCCCTTCTCGACGGCGACGACAACGGGACATGGGTGGACGCCCGTCTCACTCCTGTGGGCATAGCTCAGGCGGAAACCGCGCACCGGGCTTGGGAGACGCAGATCGAGAACAAGATTCCATTCCCTCAATCATACTACGTGAGTCCATTGAATCGATGTTTGGCTACTGCCAGTATCACGTTCCGTGGCCTAAAGATGCCGCTTACGGAGCCTTTCCGCCCCGTCGTCAAAGAGGTTCGTCCACGGTATCACCTTTCATAAATCATGAAGACTTACATCAGCAGCTCCTCCGAGAAACAATCGGGCTGCACACCTGCGATAGTCGGTCGTCGAGAACGGCCATACTAGCAGAGTACCCCGAGTACATCATTGAAGATGGCTTTGCAGAGGAAGACCCGCTGTATGACCCAAAGCTACGGGAGTCTAACACCGCGCGTGACGCTCGCCTTCGCGACTTACTCCAAGACATCTTCACTCACGACACAAACACGTTTATCTCTTTGACCGCCCATTCAGGGGCCATTACGAGTATCTTGCAGGTCACGGGGCACCGGAAGTTTGCGCTCGAGACGGGTGCTGTCATTCCGGTTCTGGTCAAGGTAGAGCGTGTGCCTGGGCCATTGCCGAAAATGCATATTGATCCGCCTACGACGGCGCCGATTTGTAAAAATTGATTTCAAGCCGTAAGAGGGTCCATGATGATTTGGCAGAGACACGATGGCCTATCATGCGCATCGTCTATTGTATATATCCAGATAAAATGATATCCCTAACCTAGCTAACATGATCTATTAAAGGCACAGTCAACGCGAGGACAGTTCTTCTTTTGCTTTCTGGGTTCAGACCATCTCACGGCCATAGCAAAGGGTTCTAAGAGCGGGAGTCAAGGCCTTGTCCTCCTCCATTATCGTAATTGAATCCGTGTCTTATTTATTCAGGTGTGGTGAATGCTACTGAGACGTGCTCATCGAGACTGCATCGACATTCACTTCAGCCAGGATCAGATTGTGAATGAGCAGAATTAATTCCTACAAGCGCTTCTCATGGATACACTCGGTTGAAAGGCTCTCATTGTAACGAACGCCCTTCTGACCTTACCTGACGTTCTGAAGATATACCGAGAACCGCCGCTCTGGCTGTGGTCTTCAAAGGCTGTAACGCCCTGCTTTCTGTTGAGACACCTCGAAATCCACCGTCGGATTCATCCTCGTTCTTGTCAGTTGAAGACAGATTCAGCACAGCCATTACACTTATCCTATCGTTGCCACCGCAAAAGATGCCATGACAAATTGAGGGGTTGGCAATGCTATAATGGCCTGGATACTCGCCTCCTTCACGGGACCGAGTGCTCCTATGGACAAACACCTATCAAGACCTTGCGAACTACTGCTCGACAATATAGGTCAGTCAAGCAGGATCTCGTCGAGGCACATCAGTCCTCTTATCTGATTACMTCAACMCAGATCACTTATCCAAACCTGGCTGTTCTAGGAACTAGTCGGGTGGTTTTTTGACGGAATATGGACATTCTGTTCCAGGGCACGGGCGTGTCCATCGGCTCGGCCATAGGAGCGACAGAAGATCTGGATTCTGTTCCAAGAGCATAGGTACATCAGTCGGTGGATCGAGTGCAACAACATTTGGGCCGTGAGCTCCGTTAGCAAGAGACTGCTTCCATGGATGATCTAGCTCATATCGAGCCAAACAGGTGAGGCTGGCCAAGTAAGTGATTAACCTTCCAATTGAACAGTGTGATTATTGAGCATCAGCTAACTGTAAATTCAAAGAGGCCAGATGCTATCTTGCTGCCTCCAACTCAGACATATGCCGGACCTAGTGATCTACGTGTTTCAATGGACACACAATCATCGAAGACAAGTCCTATAGCTGGGTGATGGCTTCTTCCCGGGCCCTCCATCCTCCCAGCGGAGGTTGATTGACTCCTGCGGCACTGACCAGAGTCAGCTGTCCATGCCCACAGTGCTAGAAAAGAGCAACTATTGACTGATTGTGCCGTAAAGCCCGCCCTTCCAGCGTTCATATCTTGTGCTTGCTGCCTGTCCGCCCCGCTTCTCAGCCATTTCATTAGCAATCTCTGACAATTCGGTTCCTTCTAAGATGGACTGGGTCTAGTGAGAAAGGAGCTCTGGCTGAAACCTCAGGGCCATTCGCTACGGAGCTAGTCGATTTAATGGTTTATCGCCCAGTGCAATAGGGCCATCTATAGCGACAGATACGTGATTGGTAACGCCGAGGACCTCCAGAAAGATGAGTGGCCTGACGGCTCTACATGCTTGAAGGCCCACACATCTGAGTTGAACCTCCCCGATGAGAACCTCAATCTGTTTCCGTGGGGAAAACCAGCACCAGCGGCTAAGCTGATCGACGCTCTTAAGAAACCCCCCACTACGACACCGGTTCGATCTATACCAAACAGGCCCGAAGGCTTCTACTCCTCATCGAAGAATGGTATTTTAAACTAGGAAAACACGAACGTGAAGCTCTCGCCGACAAGGACATGAAAGACTGKAAAATGACTCGTTCCATTCAGAACTCGTTCAAAAAGCTTGTCAATACACTCATGGATTAGCCCTCTGCCTTTTAAGCTCATCATCTTCATCGGACTACAGAGCTGTTCACCTGTTCAAAAATCTCTTACATTCCAGACCTCCGCCCGCACTTATTGGAGAAGACTTCGTCGCAGGATGAGTCCAGAACGAGAACCGGCGCAGGCGTTCGCGGGAGACAGCCCGGTGAGTGATAGCCGGTACCGACATGAAAGCTATCGTTATAGAGAACCACCTGAAAGACCTTGGCCGCTAAAGAGTGCGCTTGACTATTGCACCCTTGCAACTGCCTGTCAGCTTGCTCTTGAGGGCTGTGGGCCTCCAGATTCCAAGACCAGGCGATAGCTACTATTGCCTGGCAGGCAGCCCAGATACAAGGGGTTGGCCGGTTGCTGGAACATCTGGCCAAGCAGGGACTGATTACAGATGTAGTTGACGTGGAAATAGCTGATCAGGGACTGGCGGACCACCAAGAAGACATCGTGGTGCCTCTGGCAGAGAGGTTTCGCGAGGACAACAAGCTGTTATCTATAACGAACCCCCAACCAAAGGCCATGTTGATGTCCACTTCAACGATGCACAGGGCTGGCTGATTGGAATCTTGGCTTATATCTGGCTGATGTACCCAGACAAGTTTGATCTTGATCGCGTGGAGAACGAGATGCTTGCCTTTTTAGCTTAGTTTGTATGTTTCTCGCTCTTCTTTCTGTTGCTAGCCTTATCTGACTCACTCGATTACCAATCCGATGGCAATCTATCGCAACCGCAGGAGTCGATTCTCATAGAACCTCCTCTAAATCTGAACTCATTGTTTCAGGCAATCTGCTGAAAGGAGGGCTCTTTCTTATTGCTCGCCAGGGATATAAGACTTCATCAGGACTGGTATGCCTCTTCTCACTTCGGTGAGTCAGACGACTGGGAAGACGCCCTTCGAGGTCTTATATGGCGTACTCCGAGATCTGTATTCTCACCTCCCTCGGATAACCTCATGGCGGCCGCAGACGATTTTACCACTGAGAGAAACCGAATAAGGAGTGGCAGCCGACGCAATTCAGTACACGCAAAGCCGGATGGCGTTCTATTCTGACAGGAAGCATAAGCCTATGGAGCTGAAGGGCCAGGTCTACGGCCGTCTTACCAGAAAGCCAGGCAATACAGGAAATTCCTTTGATATGCCCATTGCCTGGGTTACGGCGAGATGGTAGGTTGAGAGGACAAAACCTTCATGCACTCAGCATACAACACCATATCATCATAGCTACTAACAGAGAGGCAATAGTGGTTACTGCACAGTGATGGGCAGGCGCAACATATTATGTTAGCAATCGTTAAATGGATAGAAATAACACTTCCTATATAACAAAACGGAGATGCCTTCAGCGATCATGCTACTGGGCTTCTGAAGGACTTTGGGATTGTCTCAGAACTAAACATGCTAATATTTCAGTATGGTTAGCGTAGGCTGTTAATGAAGATGACTATAAGCTACTTATTCACACACAGACATAGGATTCAGGGGGAATGGCATTATTATTCTGCATGTGGCGTTCTTGATCCCAGCCTAGATAGGAAATATGTTATTTATTAGTTTGATGTGGGCTTGCAGAAATACCATGAGAGAGGCTGTGTTCAGAGGACTTCTGTGGGTGTCGACACATATAATGGTATTTACAAACTAAACAACGATTATTGAATTCATATTCTATCTTTCTATTGGTGTCACCGTGTCATGATCATTGATCAACCGGGCATCTCCGACTGATACTGATAAGCCCACTATTTAAGCATCATTTTCCCCGCACTTTTCCCCTCAGCAAATCCCACTTCTTCCACTTTCTCCCTCTTATTCTTTCCAGTAATCTACCCCTACGTCTAAACCATGGAAGGCCTCACCCCCTCTCAACTCACCTTCTTTCGTGAGAACGGCTACCTCGTCATCCCCGACTTCCTCTCCCCAGAGGATATCGCCTCCCTCCTGACCGAGACCAACAGACTCCTCGACGACTTCCCACTAGAATCCCACCCCCTCACCAAATTCACCACCGGCGACGACGAAACCAACAAAAACGACTCCCACGTCGGCGACGACTACTTCCTGAACTCCGGCGACAAGATCCGCTTCTTCTTCGAACCGGACGCCTTCTCCACCCCCGACCCCACAACAGGCAAACCCACCCTCCTCAAACCCAAACAGCAAGCAATCAACAAGATCGGACACGCGCTGCACTCGCTCTCCCCGCCCTTCGAGAAAGTCTCGCTGAGCGAGCGCAATGCCGCCATCGCCAAGTCCCTCGGGTTCGTGGACCCGCGCGTGCTGCAGAGTATGGTGATCTGCAAGCAGCCCGGGATCGGGGGCGCGGTGCCGCCGCATCGAGATTCGGAGTTTCTGTATACGAGGCCGCCGTCGGCGGTGGGGTGGTGGTTTGCGCTGCAGGATGCGGGGCGTGGGAATGCGACGCTGGGGATGTGGAGGGGTTCGCATCGGCAGGGGATCAAGCGGCGGTTTGTGAGGAAGATTAGGGAGGATGGGAAGGTCGTTGGGACGGAGTTTGTGGAGAACGATGGGCCGGAGGTGCCGAGGGGGGCGGAGGGTCAGGGCCAGGACCAGGGCCATGAGGTCAAGGATGAGGATTTGGAGATTCTGGATATCAAGGCTGGGTCATTAGTGCTGATTCATGGGAATGTGCTGCATATGAGCGAGAAGAATACCAGCCCCCGCAGCCGGTTTGCGTATACCTTCCATGTCATTGAGGGTGCGGATGGATGGGACTATGATGAGAGGAACTGGCTGCAGCCTCCGGAGGGCGGGGAGTTTTCCAAGCTGTATCGGTAGAGACGAGCAGGAATTGTATATACCTTATCCTTCTACTTTTGAGGTGGCTTCTTGGACAACTGAGACACTCATCTGCGTCTATTTCCATATTGCGCCCAATGTCTTGCCATATATGGTCCGCACACGACCTTGGCGATGTGACCGTTTCGCTGACATTGCAGTCCAGGTATTTACTATCAAGCCGTATGCGCTGCTCATGTCTGGATATCATGTAGCCCGTGCTATGCTTACCCAGGGCTCAAGAAATACAAGCCAGTAATTCAGGGCTGCCTCTGCGCCACAATCATCGTCTAGCCGCTGATCCTTCTGCAATGTTCCATGCAGGTACGGTAGCAGATTCAATCTTCACTGGCCCACAACCCAGTATATACCCCCGTATTTGGGACTAGTCAGGAATATGCCAACGAAGTCAAGTATACCGGAACCCTATCAATTTACTTGGCTGATGGAATCAAAATACCAAAATGCTATCACAAGCACAGTCAGTGTGCCCGAGTGGTTAAGGGGAGTGATTAGAAATCACTTGGCTTCGGCCGCATAGGTTCGAGTCCTATCGCTGACGTTTCTTTTTTGTTTTTCTCTTTCGTATTCTCTACAGCAGACCCCCGGCCTATCATGCATTAGATAGGGAGTACGGAGTAGTAGGCCCCTTTTGTTTACTTTGCTGAGTATACAGAGTATGGTGTGCTGGTACAAGATGATGTCGAGGCCAAAGTCATGATCATGCCATTGGGAAGACGGTCAATTATTCGACCCATCGTGACCCGATATTAGCGTTAAATGCGAATTCTTTCTGTTTCCACTTAATTACGAAGGTTCTCATGGGAGCATTGGCCTCCTTGATCAGGGGCTTAACTACGTAGATGGATGCAGGATGGCATATTCCCCTAGCCGTCCCTTATCTTATCAGATTTCACCCAATGCGGCACATCTCAGCCGCTCGGTATCTTATCCCCGATCCCATAAACACCCTTGAGAGCTGCCACTCACCTCTTATCTACCCAACGTCAGCTCAACACCAACAGAGGAGCCTAGGTGGAAAATGGACCCCGACGCAAGCGTACCGGTCGACGAGCCATCCGTCTTCAACTACATCCTCTCCTTCCTCCTCGTCGGCGTAGCATGGGGCTTCACAACGCCATTCATCCGACGCGCGGCAGCGGACTTTAACGCACGGCAGGAAGCACTCCAGAAACCACAGTCATCGACGGTACCACAGACACAATCAGCGCAGTCTACGGTGGAAGAGCACAAGCTACAGGATCAAAGCCACCCCGCAACCAGCAGCTCAAAGAATGGAGATCAAAGCGAAGAGCAAGAGGAAGAGGAATCGGAGTCAGGAGAGGAGGACCAGCCTCTCACGTCGAATGCGCGATCAAGAACAGCTGAAGGAAGTAGCACTGATGTCCCGGCGTGGATGAAACCAAAGTCGACATCCTCATGGCTCACGACCAAGATCGTGACGGTCTTCTGGACAGTTGTCAATCTCCTTCGCACGCCGGCGTATTCCATCCCGCTTGTGATCAACCTTACGGGGAGTATTTGGTTCTTTTTGTTAGTTGGGAAGCATGGTTTGTCTTCCGTCTCTCTCTCTCTTCATGAAATTGTTTCCATGCTGATATTATATAGAATTGTCGCTAACCGTCCCATTGGCGAATTCGAGTGCATTCCTCTTCACCGTCATCGGAGAGTGGTATGTTGAGCGCAAGGTCATTGATAAACAGACGTGGTTGGGGATGGCGCTTGTCCTGGGCGGCATTGGGATCTGTGTGCACTCAAAGAACCAGAATTGAATTAGCAGTAATGCAGTATATAAATAAGGGAGTAAATACCATACGTGATCCACTTCGAATATAAAATTGATTGGAGTAAGAATGGCGGGTAAAAAAAAGTAATGCAAAAAAGCAATTGCATCATCCGTGAATCGAACACGGGCCTCGTCGATGGCAACGACGAATTCTACCACTAGACCAATGATGCTTCTTATTAGAATAACTTTCCTATTTTGATTACATTAAGCTTTCTAAAGGACTGGATTTACAGCGAGGATATGAGGATAGAATCGAAGAGACAAATCCTTATCGTCAAAGGCTGGGACAGCATGAGTCATTGTCTAGATGTTATATCTCAAGTAAAATATAAGCATAATGATTTACACATCCCATACTCAACGCAACACCACACATTGTATGATGCCCTGTATGCCCTCCCGAACCAAATGGTATCTACATAATACATGGCAATCATCTTCTAAAGAAGCAGAATCAAGCAAATAAACACCAGGAGCATCATTGACCGCTCCATATCATAAGACATGTCTTCGTCATCCAAGGTACCATACTGAGCCCGCAGTGGTATCGTGGCCAAACGTCAGTATAGAGCCGGGTGCATACATCACATGGGAAGGAAAGGCTGGAGAAAGTAACATCAAACGCCTCGGAACTGTACAAATGGTTAGCGTTCGAAAGCCAAATTAAAAAGGTCGAATATCCTTGAACATACCATACGAACGACTAAGAACCACATCGCCCCCATGAATTTGAATATCGAGAGACCAGCCACACTCCAGAGCACGACAGCCATGTAGATCGTGGCCCTGTTATCATCTGTCGTACTTGTGTCGGTGCTGAATCGCTCCAGGCCAGCTGCGCTCAGCACAACGGCGCCCAGCGCAAAGTTGCAAAACACCCAAGCGAGCACGACCGCGCTTCGGAACCCCTTGTAATAGTCGGCCTGACGTTCCTCTTCCGAAATGACCTTGGTCTCCTTGGGCGGTTTCTGTGCAAATTTGGCCAATTCTGCCTCGTACTGCGCGTTAAGGTCTCCGTCGTCCTGGGGAATATCAACATCAACTTTCCCGCCGGGTTTCGTGTTGGCTGAAGGCAGTTTTTCGGCCTTGTCATCACCCTTGGTACCCCATGTGATGTCGTGAGTGTTGCAGAAGGCGTAGATATTGAGTACGTTAATGTACGTTGGCGTAAGCAGCATGTATTGGATAAACTGATACAGGTCAGATTCATATATAGCCAAGGTTCGGAGGAGAACTTACGGAGGTGAACATGTGCCAGGGGTCGAAGAAGATGAGTGAAGCCAGAAGCCACATGACATAAGTCGAACCCAAGGAGACAAAGATCGAGAAAAACTGGCTGTTGCTGAACAAGTCCCCAACGGTAAATGAATTCTGGGAGACTTCCTTCTGAATAGATTTAACGGTCACAAAGATTGCTGCAAAGGTCAGGTAGATCATGATGCCAATCCAGAAGTAGACCATGGTCATGTAGAACTTGTTTGAGCCGCCGGGACGGTTGCCGAGGGCCAGAACGAAGCAGGTTACCAAGGTCGCAAGATAGAGCCACTCGAAGACAACACCCAGGACTTTACCTGTTGTCCCGAGAAGATCAGCGTCACCAAGGTAGGTGGTGAGAATATGAAAGACCAAGAAGAAGTTGCCCTGCAATTCACGTTAGCATTGGCTCATTCTGCCAAGAAGAAGACGGCACATACAATGTTGAACCATGCAAAGATCATGTTGATAGTCTGGTAGATGAACTCAATCAACAACATGAACTTGCGCATGAAGCTGTGGTCGCTTCGCCAGATCTGGTAGAAATGGGCGATGGCATAAACGGCAGCAAAGAAACTTCCGTTCAGCCATCGGCGCCGTTGTAAAATGAATTCCGCCATTCGATCAGGCACATCGGTCTCTCCGGTCGATGACTTGACATATTGCAGGAGCCAGCGGCAGTTGCGTTTTGTCACAATCTCAAAACACAGAATTCGATCCTCGGCCAAGTACATATTGGCTGTGAAGATACCGGCATTGGCGCCATGCATCTTTTCACCTAGGAAGTAGCGCTCCAGTGGACCTTGGCCGTTCTTGTCGTTCTGTAACGCGACGTACCTGTACGCAGAAAAAGCACCAGGCAGAACCGAAATGAAACCAAATGCTGATTCCAGAGGCTTATCCAGAATGTTGCTGAGCTTGTATTCGAAGTTCTGCCCGGCCACCAACGGGTTGAGCAATTTCTTGCCATGCGACAGCATGACTTTAATCTCGCCACAAGCTCCTCCGCACATGGGCTCGACGTCAAAAGCCTTCCATAGCTGATAGATAGAGTCCCGTCCAGGCTTCGTTCCTGCGTCCAGAAGCACACAGATATTGGGGTCCAATACGCGGCCAAAGGCCTGGAAGAACCAACGATGCGAATTGATCTTCTTCTGGTTCTTTTCCTTCAAGCAGAAAATCATCTGGACTGGGCAGGCAGAGCGCCCTTTCAAGTGTACCTGAGTTCCTTTGAGCTCGAGACCGACCTGGGTAGTATACTCGTAGATATGTGCTGTCACGTCCTTGCCGTTCACCTGCTGCTTCGCGATACCATCCTGGTACACACCGAGACCGGCCAGCACAGCCCGTGTCCGGGGATTGATCTTGGCACGACCATCGCTGATGACGCAAACGACAATCTTTTTCCATGCGTCCTTGCCCCAGGTTTTACTTTGCGTCCGGTTGCACATGTACTCGATGTTCTTGAACACGCCGATCAATGTTCGAGCGAAAAGGAAGTCGTCCTCGTTGTACATGGTAATGACGATGAAGAGCTCGGTGTGTCGAGGCTTCGCGAACAGTTTCTGGCGCAGTGTAAATCGCTCCTCGTAAAAATCAGCGGGATCGCAAGTTGCCGCCGAGTAGCGCATATGAGTGAACTCGTCACGACCAGGGGGTTCCGCATGAGGAACTTGACTGAGCAGCTTCGGCGCAATGGGACAGTCCAGGACCAGGTTACCGTGGAAGAGTTGTACTTCCTTGACCGTCTTCCAGCGTCGTATTGGCGCCGGACTCGGAGTGGGCTCAGCCGCAGGATCGTCATGGTACTCATCACTGTACGGGTCCGGACCGAACGGATTATCAGGTTGTAAAATGGGCACTCGGTCATCTTGGTAAGGCTGTGGTTGCTCGTGATACTGCCCTATATCATAATCATCTTGCGGCGTGACTGTTGGCTCGTAAGGATGGGTGTAGTATGCGTCGTGATGAGCTTCCGGGTTCACAGCATATTCGTAGCCGGGATATTGCTCAGGATGACGTTGCTCGTAGGCTTCATTATGACCGTAGGAGTTGGGAATTCGTTCTACCGAGTACTAGTATCTTGTGTCAATCTCAACAGTCACAGTCGCTCCGACTGGAATGGTGTTCTCACAGTTGGCTGCTCCGCTAGACGGTCGCTGGAAGGCATCTGCAAATGGTCATGCACGTATGGATTATCCGACAGCTGGTAAGCGGTCAAAGGCTGGCCTGGCGACGCCGTTCGATCGTCCAAATGATGAGGGTTCATGCTGGGAGAGCGATTGCCATCCTCGCCGTGGTGGTCTACAGAGCTCGGATGTCAGTTGGAATGGCGGATAAGTAGTGTTAAAACACAATATGAAATGGCAGGCAGAAGCAATTGCAGAATGATCGCCAGACAGCTTGCGCAAGTGCCAATGGAGGCTAATCTCGAAAAAGTCGCTTTATCGGGGGCTATGTTTCAGAAAGAGAGTGGATGCGGAGATGCGACGGATCCCGCAGCCCTGCAATAACAACACTGTAACACAGACCAAAAACAAATTATGAACTAACCTAAGCGATTATAGGACATTGTGAGGGTAGGATCTCCGGATACTGATCGTTTGAATGAGCTACCCCTTTGTATTCCTGGCAAGGGGGGTCTGATTGGGAATGCGCCAAGAGCGTGGGTGGAATGAGGTCAAGCGCCCAGTCACTCGATAATTTGTCGTTGCTTGCGGGGAATTTGGCGACTTCCAAGACAGATGGCAGGGAAGGAAATGAAGAGATCGAGAATGTTGAGCGAATAAAGGTGCTTTTTCATCTGTCAACTGCTGCCTGTTGAGCGCAAACCCTGCGACGCCACTAGTGGTGGCTGTAAAGGACGGGGGACTTGGGAGGACAAGGAGAAGCAAAAGTTGTAAGCTGAGAATGAAGGAAACGAGGCTTTGCTTGGTAGGGCTTTTTCCGCGTTGACCAAGGAACCAGAAGAAACGGACGATCACTTTTTGGGTGTTAAAATCTGCGAGAATAATACCTTGATGACGACGAGTAGAAAAGGTGCACTGTTTACTACTTGAGACTAGACTAGACTACGGAGTGCGCCCCGCAAAGTGACGCAGCTATCTGATATGCTTATCCTTCGTCTATAGTAGAAGGCTTCTATAAGTCCCTGCTTAAAGAGAAATCTGCACATCTGCACGATGTATGAGCAGCAGAACATTGATTTGCTTGTATCTCCCTCACCTTGATCCAACCATCAAAATCGACTTCGATTCATCAATCAAGCCGTGGGTATCGTTACCTTGGCCCATGGGCTATGGTGGAGAGACTGGTAGTAATCCTTGGTCACTGGGCCAACGGGAAACCGGTGTGCCTGTCACTGCCACACTGCCACACCCCCAGTGTGCCCGCCTATGGCTCAGGCCTCTAAAAATAAACGCGTGCCACACTAGCACTTTATCACTAGTTGCTTCGAAAAAATTGGTCTCATTCTTTATGGTCGTAAAGTTGGTAACAGTAATGATTGTTTGAATAAACGTCACGGACACTTGGATTTCGGGAAAAGTCCCTATTATTTGTCTGAACATAACCATGAATTAGCAGGAATATATAGCCGTTTAGTATATTGTAAAGCCCTCGTGCGAGTTTTCTTGAACGACAATTGCAGATATTTTTTCGATCCCAGTGGCTTAGACATCAGTACTTTCATTATAGAAAAGATCTGTATTGTAGTTCCGTAACAACCAACATTTCGTCATACTATGGCATACTCTGTTCGACGAACTGGTGGATGTTTGATAAGATTGCCCTGTGGCTGAAGGCGGTGCAAAGCGGCAGAATTCTTATCACTGTGGCGGGGTCTGCAACATTTTAATTGGAGACGCATAGGAGGTACTCCGTACATGCTCCTGTCACAGTCCTTGCTCAATCACCCAGGAACTTCTCAGCAGATAACGATAGCAATGACCGCCTCCAAGTCCCATTCACCCGGAGACAAAGCCAATGTCCTCTTTGTCTGCCTGGGGAATATCTGTAAGCACTAAACCTCCGCCCCTCACCTAACTCCAATCTAATATCCCCCTCACCAGGCCGCTCCACCATGGCAGAAGGTGTCTTCCGCAACATGGCGAGCACCCATCCATTGATCAATGAGATCGATTCCGCAGGCACAGGAGCCTACCATACCCTCGAGCCCCCCGATTCGCGCACCATGTCCACTCTCCGCCGCCACGGTATCACAGACTACGACCACGCGGCGCGGAAGATCACCAAGGATGACTTTTTGAACTTTGACTATCTCCTCGCGATGGATAAATACAATCTGCGGGATCTGCTGGATGTGCGCGAATCGGTTGTTGCTTCGTTGCGGAAGTCCGGAGGCGCCAAAGGTACCCGGGCGGCGAGCGGAGACGCCGGCGCGAAGGTTGCGGAGGTGAGGTTGTTTGGTGATTTTGGGCCGGGCGGTGTTCTCCATGACCGAGTTGGTGGTGGTGAGGTCGTGCAGGATCCTTACTATGGCGGTGTTAATGGGTTCGAGGAGGTTTATCAACAGGTTGTGCGATTTTCCAAGTCGTTTTTAGAGTATTTGGAGAAGAAGCAGGGCTCTGAGGTTGAGGAGTGATTCCTGGTCTTTTGAGCATGGCATACTGCGTTCTTGCATGTTGAGTGATACCCGATAACTTATAGATATGATCGATCAATACATGACTTAGAGGAATTTGGAGTCTTAAAATCAAACCTGCCGCACCGAGCCTTCATGAAGGTATCCATCTTTGCGGATAGTATAGTACATTTTGCAACCTTATCGCACAATTGGCCGAATGAGACGGACCGCAACCAACAATGGCCATAAAGTGGCTAGCCCTCTGTTCATACCCTTTCACTGATCTTGATAGCTGCTCTACAGCCCAGGCGGATCACATTGACCAACGGATCATAAGGCTGCGCCTCTTTGGCATCGTTCTCAACGGCATGATCCAAATGCTCTAGCTCCTCATCACGAATTTGTCGGAATGTTGCCAGCATCTCCTTTAGCTCATCATCAAGCTCCTCTCCCCGGCTCTTGGCGTCTGCCTCCCATGATAAAATCTCCCGCACTTGGTCGTTGTAATGAGACCCAATCTCCGTCTCCACTGCCTCCGTACAAGCCATGGCCGCCTCCCGGCCCATAACTCCCGTCGACCATCCCAGGAATGTGGCTGCTACTTCCCAAATCGGATACATGGCCGTCGGGCGAACCCGGTGCTTTGCAATAAGTTTGTTGAATGTCGAGAAGTGTCCGGCTTCTTGGTCATACATGTGCTTCATAAGAGGTCGGAGGTTGGGATGCGAGCGCACGACCTGTGGTGTTTGCGCCGTATAGATGAGCGTTGCGGCAAGTTCGCCGGCTTGGTTGACTCGGAGTGCGCTGTCCAGGTACTCCCTTTGTTTCTTGCTCAGAATGTATGTGGGCTTCGAGGATCCAGCGGCCGGATTCTGAGAGGACTGTTGTGCACCATCCGAAGGATTAGATGCCGCTGTAGAGCTGTGCCGGGGTCGACTCTGGCGCAAAATCGACGGAGCGAGAAAGTCGAGCATCAACGGGGAATTTGACCGAGGGGATCGGCTGAGAACGCATCTTCGAAAGGAAGATAATGAATTCATTCTGTGTATGGTTTAATAAAATCAAAAGATACTTGAGTAATAGCGTTAAGAGACAATCGAATGGACAAATTCATCAACGACTGTAAACATGAGACACTTATACACCGGATATCCCGAGGTGGTCCAACATGGCCGCAGACGCGCGCTTGCGGCCTTCTTGGCAAGGCATCAATCTCGGGGCCCCTGGGCCCGGAACGTCATGGACGAACMAAATCGTGCGGATGCCGCCGTGCACTTTGTCCGATCGCTTCTCTTCACCTCAAGGCCATCCGTCGTCTTCGTTATTCACTAATAATCCGCCACCCACCTCCATCCTCGCGACCTGCTTGGGCTTTCTTTTCTGTCGCGAGATTGTTATATACAGCTGGCTCCGCCCTAGCCAACTATTTGATTAATTTATATATCGGTGCCCGTGTTCAAATCTTTAGGGCCCAGTCGTTGAGGTCTTCGCTGTGAATTGCGACGGTGAAATAGGGGGCTGTCGCGTACTCGAATCGGCTCTTCCCTGTTTGCGCTCGCCAGCCATTCTATTTTGAGTCAAACGCCACCTGGTTTTCAGTGAAGTTTTGCACGATATTCACTATGGCGGACGATCTGGATGCCGAGCTGCTCGCTCTAGCGGGCGACTCCTCTGACGAGGAGTCATCACCTCCCCCCAAGCAGAATTCTGAATCTCCTGCTCCTTCAGCCTCTCCATCATCAACCATGGCGCGAAAAGGGACGGCGAGGCCGATTAAAAGGAGCAAGAAGTCGCGGAATGATGACGAGGGTGATGAGGAGGATGGCGAAGTGTAGGTTTGCCGTTGTCTTCGTGTTCATTTTCACCTCAGTTTGTCCTTTGCGTGAGGTGGCTGGGAACTGACAACACTGGCCCCACCAGGTCTGACGCTGGATCTCGCCATTCACTCGAGTCCGCCAGCATGTCCGAATCTGACGCCGCCTCCGATTCTGAGGGTGCAAGTGAGGACGCCGAAGACGATCGCCCTATCTTTCCTTACGATAAACTTTACTACTCCGCTAAAGACAAAGAGGAAATTATGGCGTTGCCGGAAATCCAGCGGGAACAGATTCTCTCTGAACGAGCGCAAGAGGTCGACCGACGCAACCAGGACCTGGCTCTCCGCCGTCTCTTAGCGTCTCGCGAACGTGATGAGGCTCGGCGGGTGAAAAAGTCCAAGCGAAAGGCAAGCGTGGCGGATCTGGAAGAAGGCCAGCGCAAGAGCTCGCGGCAGAAGACCACACTTGGTGGGCGCAAAGTTGGCGAGGCTTCTGAGGCCATTGAGGCATACAAGCGTCAGCGTGAGAAGAAGGGCAAGCGCGATGAGCTTCGTCGTCGTGATATGGCTGCTGGCGAAGCAGCTCCAGCAAAGGACGAAGCGCCCTCGGACAAGGATGCTGAAGGGGAAAGCGAAGTCGAGTGGGATAATCGCGAGCGCTCCCCATCTCTCCCCAAGGATGACCCGCCTGCGGACCTTCGTGACATTCAACGCGCTCGCGTGGGACGGACCAATTTCGCACAAGTTTGCTTCTATCCTGGCTTCGACGAAGCCATTTCCGGATGCTATGCTCGAGTAAATATCGGACCGAACAGAGATACTGGTATCAACGAATATCGTCTATGTTTGATCAAGAGTAAGTGACCGAGTTATCTCGATTCTAGCTGCACCTCGAGACTCGCCGTACTGACTCATTTCAGGATTCACAGAGGGACGACCTTACGCCATGGAAAGCCCGAACGGTCGGTCGTTTGTGACAAACCAGTACGCGGTTTTGGCGCATGGGAAAGCAGAGCGCGAATTCCCTTTCATAGCTTGCTCTGATTCACCCTTTACCGAGGTAACTTCTATTTCCCTGATTCTGAAGCCCTCGTTATTATACTAACGCCTTTCAGGCGGAATTCAGTCGCTACCGCCAGACCATGGCAGTTGAAGATTGCAAGATGGCCACCAAATCGATGGTTGCTAAAAAAGTGGCAGACATTAACCGTTTAATCAACCACCAGTTTACCAAGGAAGAGCTGAACGAGAAGTTGCGCAAACAAGGCTCACTGGATAACAAGATGCGCACCTTTAAGCGCCTTGAAACCGAGAAGCAATTGAAGTTGGCTAGAGCTGCTGGTGATGATGAGGAGGTGTCGCGATTGGAGAAGGAGCTGGCGGAGCTGACGGGACCAAAGCTTGCTTTCAGCACCCAACCATCAAAACCTCGCTCGGAGAAGTCGGATTATGAGCGCCTCGCCGAATTGAACCTGCGCAATCAGAAACTGAACACCGAAAGTGTGCGTCGTGCCCAGCTCGAGGAGAGAAAGGCGAGTCGGAAAGCCGCTGCAGCAGTCGCTCGTGGTGAAGCTCAAGCCAACCCATTCATGCGTGTTCGAACCCTTGCCAAGACCCATTACGATGCCAATGGGAATAGCCTGATACCAGACTCAATTTCCAGCCGTGGCGGGACTCCTGGTACAGGATCTGACACGCCGTCCAAAGCCAGTACGCCTAAGCCTGCCGGCTCTACACAGAAGAAGCAGTCGAAGGGTGGGATTGCCTCGATCCGTCACCGCAATATGGACGACGAGAATATTGCGGCCCTGGATTTAGAGTTGGATATTGAAATCTGAAGTGACCACATCTATCGTCGGTGCAATGATTTTCATTGCCGGAAGAGCATGATGAGCGAACAGGTTAAGGCTTGGCTATATCTCTGAGGATAGCTTATGAAAAGGAAATTGAACCGGACATGACTTTTTGATTGAACATAGGCAGGTGTTACATTAGATCAGCGTCGGTTTCTGTATTTTTGTCACTACGGGCGGGCTTTAAACATTGGCGTCATACCACACCTAGAATGGGAATTTGTATTTATTACCAAGAAACCATTGAACATTACAGATGATCAGCATATCTGCGTCTAAATTGAAAGAAGCGTTGAGAGCGGAACACAACGCTAGCGTTTGCTCTTTGTACGTCTCAGATGATATACAGGGGGACGCGGAGAACAAATATCTTGGGACGAGAATCCACGCTATACATAACAATCGTGACCTCAGATCTACAGCTTCCGACAGAGGCTTTTATCCATTTTCAGCCGCGCCGCAAGGACGAAGACAGTTGACACCAACGCTGTTGCTCGCTCTTTGATATGAGCAGCGCAGCCGGCACGCCACTTGCCAGCGACATCAGTGCCATTGCATGGAATGTCCAGGCGACGCCGACTCTTTCGATGAGAGCCTGAAGCACAATAGCCATAACTGTGGCCCCCAGGCCCCTGCTAAGCTTCACCAGGCCATTTGCAGTTCCCAGACGGTTGCTGAACCATTGCACCGGCAGGCTATTTGACATTGTGTACATCAGAGCTCCACTAAAACCGTACAGGGCCCCAGACACAAACATTCCGCTGACATTGTTGACGGCCAAACCGCCAATTATGTTACTGATTGTAAGCAGCAGGATCCCAGTCAAGGTGCTCCATTGGGCTCCGATCAGTTGCGCGAGTCGAATACAGACCAGGCCTAAGGCAACTGTCAGGGCAGTTCCAAGGGAGCCGGCAAAGGACAATGTGCTGGCTGGTGTATCTGTCATCTTGGTCTGTATCAGGCCAGCCTGAAGTATTCCCCATGACCCAGACCAAGCATTGACCCTGAATGTCTGGACAAAACATGCAAAAACCACTATCCATCCGTAGCCACCATCGGGAATTGCTTCCACTGAGCGTGATGCGGAGGATGGGCCGAATGCCTCACCTTCACTTTGATCTCTGTCTCTAGTGAGGTCTGTTGGTGGTAAAGTCTGGAGGATGGCCTCTGATCTGGCTGATGTCTCCATACCGTTAGACCTCGTGAGGGCTAGAGCAAAATTCCTGTAAGTTTAATGGCCGTCCTTAAGAACACCTTCTAGAGAGAAGTAGTGGTCATACACATGCCTGTGTTGTCACCAAAAGGATATTGGCAAAAATGTCATCATGTCAAGAAGAGCTGTATGGCATGTGGGCAGCTAGGTAATGGAATTTGAGGAGAGCGAGGTATCAGATATCCAACCAATTTTGGGGGCCATCACGGTGATATCCCTAGACAGGGAAGCGATTCGCTGATTTAGTATCAGCCTCCAGACCTAGCAAACCATGATTCATGTTTATAGGATCAGACGGACCGTTAGTTCTATCTGAATACAACCTAGTATACATGAGCAGCTGATCTATGCATGTTGTGTAATGATTATGAACGAAAATTTCTGTATATAGTAGGCAGGAACTTGTACTCAATCTCAAGCTATACAATTCTGAGGATTATATAACACGACGTAGATGGAATTTCACAGAGAAGAATAGATAGCATCTTACAGCATACCTTAACCATTAATATCATCAAAGAAAATATAATCAAACAGACCATTTGAGAACACTCTCTTCAGATCCTGCCTTTGCCAACCTTGCGCCTGACCAATCTGTGTAAGCACATTATTAAATTTGGGGATTACATCGCCGTAGCACTCTTTCTTGAGATAATCCCGGAAGGGCTTGCCATCCACTTTTAATTGTTGCCTGTATAAGAGATGCCATTAGATAGATATCCTGGAACGAGACATTGCTGTGGGTGCAACAGTGAGAGGACGGTGCCCACCATTCTTTAGCCCAATGGGGCCGGATGTTGAGCTTTTGCCCCTTCCATTCTCTCAGCTCCATCCATTTGTCGAGGACCTCTTGCGCAAATGCATCCCAATACTCGGTTACCGATTCTAGCGTCAAGACCTCAATCGAGGCTGTTCCGAGACGATTGCCGCGCTGAGGCGCCATCAGCACATTACTGTCGCCCATGATTCGCAACTCGAGAGGCAAGCGCATTGGGCACTTGTCTGTGTGTTCGTACGCCTTGATGATTGCTTCCCACCAGGCGTGTTGGACAATGGTGAAGTCGGGTTTATCCAGGTTATCGGATTGATGAGGGAGCTGCACAAGTATATTTAGCGAATGTCTGACCTGGGAAAAAGAATAAGAGAACAAATGAGTTGATCATCTTACGGGTATCTCAAGTTCCATATCCCGGACACGCGTGTTTTGAATCGCTCTTCTGAAATGAAGCGCATCTGGGAGCCAAGCTTTGATTTCTTTGCCGGCAGGCAGGGAAGCCATGCCTAGTCTCGCTGTATTTCATAGGATTAGGTGGATTCTTGAGTATACGAGTGCCGGGTTGGAAGTTGCACTTACAAACTGCAGTAGTCCTTAACAGGGGCAGTATTTCCGCAGTATTTGTGTCTTTGGCGAGGTATTGTAGAGCCTCAATAGCAACAGCCTGAAGCCATTGCACTGCAATTTCTTCATTATCCGGATAGTCCTGCACACCTAGAGAGACTGGAGTAGTGGACCATGTATTGATCCAAACTTCGTCAGAATAGGGGAACCAGAACCATTCTGCGTAGTACTCCTCGACAGCCTTCTTCTCGAATTCCTCTTGGGCACGCCGGATCTGCTCGGGCGTACGAGGCTGCTTGAGCGGTGCAGGGACGCGCGACCGAAGGCTGTCTGGAGGCGGTATGGCATCGATCGCTGCCTGCTTCTGAGGTGTCATGGCCGCGTATGTCATCTTGTCGACTACGAGGGTGATATGGGTGACGACCCCGATCAACCCAAAGCAACCGCTGGCTGCAGAGAGAAAGTCGTCATCGGCTCGGGTGATGACCTGCAACTTACCATGCACATCCACATACTCGATGGCATAGACGAGGTCACTCAGTGTCTTATGTCTGATCCCGGCTCCGTGGCTAGGTGAATATCAGCGTGTGTGGCTTGCTTTCGTCTTCAGAAAACGGGATTTATGTCACATACCAGATCGGACCATTGCTACCACCAAAGGTAATCTCTACCATAATCACATTAAGGGGTAACGTTACTCGCTTTGTCTTTACACACCAGTATCGAAACTGCTCGTTGGTTGTCGCGCAGCCCACCCGGACTAGTGACTTGGTCGAATCTTCTTTCAAAGGGCCTAGTTCCGTGATCGAATTGAGCAATGTAGGCTTGTCCCCAAACAGAATGGGACAGAGAGGATCAAGGGATTCCACATTGGGAAGTTGTGCTGCCTGGTGTAGACTCAAAGTAGATATAAGCATACATCCCTTGTCACGAGGAAAAACTGGTGACCAAGAATGGCCTAGAAGGTATTAATTTCGGTCATCATGTAAAGCTCTACCCAAGAGACAACACGTACGATAGCCAGACACGCGAACTCCCAGGTTGTTATTTGTCGCATATAGAACGATTTGCTGTATTCCGTAATTTGTCTTCGGGACGCATGTGTAGACTGGCTGGTTCTCGACGGTTCGTCCCCAGTTACAGAACTCAGCGCCCTCATAAGTCTGTCGGGTTATTAGCAACCTGAGATCTGGACATATGGAAGAAGGGGGTGCAGAATACCAGAACTGGAGTTGAGCGCTGGGGATCCTCAAAGAGGCCTATATTAACTGTCTCTGGTGGCAGATCAGTGCGTAGGTGGAACAGTTTCTCCAGCTTGTTCTTGAACCTCTGTTCCCAAGGTTCTCGGCCACCTTCGATGTCTTGGGGGAGAGGAAGTTGAACCTGATTTGCTTTCTCCATATTCTGGAAACCCTCACGGGTTGCTCTGCTGCAGCCGAAGTCAAAGAGGTGAGCAATTTCGTGCACCCTGGAGTTTGCAGTGAACGCTTCGAGCATTTTACTCTGGTTGGGAGTACATGTTCCGAGCAGGGTGCGTCCATAGATCTTCACGAGTCGTTTTAAAGCTCTGGATGATCTGCCGAATGAAATCTTCATCAAGCACTTCGCTATCTTCTGCCCAGTTCTTCTCAAAGAGGGCATTTGGGATATTTGGGTTCGCGACTGGATCCTCGACCAGATCTTGTATCAACCTGCGAAAGAGGTCAACCCGTTCCTGGGCGGGTGGTGCAGTCTGCACCTTGGAGAAAGCGTCCTTCACAGAGCTGGGTTTATCGCCGCTGGAATCCATGGCTAGCTCTTAAAGAAATTACTTGAGTGAGGCCCAAAGAAGGCGAAAAGTTCTTGATTGAATGCTATGTTCACCAATATCTAGAAATATGTCTGCTCGGTCAGCAGGCCGAATCTCAATGTATAAATATATAAATGGTAGAGCAACGCAGACAAAGAAGGATTCAATGATCCTACATACATCCGTGATACAATCTGACGTTTTAGATGGCAAAGTCTGATCATGAGATTTAGTCAAAGGACATTTGGTACCAAACTGCCCAAGTTTCCGCATTCATCAACTCACGAACCATAATGCCGTTATTGAGCTTAACATTGTGGTGAAGCTTAAACGTGAAAGGATTGGCCTGGACAGTCTAGATTAGTCTGCTCTCTGTATCCATGGTCGAAGCCCGCGATGGTAAGGTCGTCGGGCCCACAGTGTGGTTGTCTCGATTAAGCTATGCGCCACCACCCTTAGATCTCAGCTTCTGTAGGCTGTTATTTGCCAGATCTATTGTGGGTGGTCCCCATGGGTGATCATGCCTTGGAGGCGGAATTCGGTTGTTTCAATTGTCCAGTCCTACATTAAAGCCATGAAAAAGCATAGACTAGAACCACTAAATCAATCACCATTGAGCCCTCATTCTGGCGCGTCTACTACTAATTCTGGCTGATATCCACCATCTGTAAACAACTTCAATCCACCGTCGAGATTCGCAGCCTGATAGCCAGACTGCACTAGCATTCTGTAGACCAGGTAGCCATGATAGCCTACCCTAGAGCAGACCAGTACCGGGCGGTCCTTTTCAATCTCATCCAGTCTTGACCTTAGCGAGTCGATCGGGATGTTTCGAGTGAGTGGTAGATGGCCTTGTGCAAAATGCTCTGCGGACCGCACATCAATGATCTGCCATTCATGGAGATGGCCTTGGAGGTCTTGAGGATGGACTGTATGGAGGTCCCCACGTAGCAGGTTACTTCCTACCGAGCCGGCCAGATTGACTGGATCCTTCACTGAGCCGTATTGTGGCAGGTGGGAAAGTTCGAGAGGCTCCAAGTCGAACACGGTCATCCCGGCCTGAATGGCTGTCGCTAGCACATCGATGCGGCCGTCCACGCCAGAATGTCCGACAATCTGAGCGCCCAGCAAGACGCCACTTGCTGGTTCAAAGGCCACTCTTAACGTTAGCTGGTGGGACGATGGGAAGTACCCAGCATGGTCCGGCTGGTGGATTGTCACAGATTGAGGGTCGTATCCAATCTGCTTGAGGTCGGACACTGAGAGCCCGGTGATAGCCCCTGTCAAGTGGAAGACGTGGTAGACACGGGTTCCACAGGTGCCACGGTAAGCTGTAGCTCGTTTGAAGATGTGATCCGCTGCGAGGCGACCCTGTCGATTCAAAGGTCCGCTCATGGATGACACCTGAGGCATATGGGAGATACTGTTCATAACCTCCGCCACACTGCCAACCGCATAGATGTCACGATCACTTGTCTGCATGAATGCATTGACCACAATCCCTTTCCGGACCTCAAGACCTGCGTTCTTAGCATGCCGGACTCGAGGCTCGGGTTCTGTGGCTACAACTACCAGGTCCGCGGAGAGGATAGAGCCATCGCTTACCTCCACGTAGCACAGGTCGCTGGCATCTGCTTCTGCGATCATTTGACACTCCGACCCGAGATAGATCTGGACTCCTTTCTTCATGAGCTCGTTCTGCATGATATTGGCAAAATCCGGATCAAATTCCGGACAGAGGCGGTCACCAGCCTCAACCACGCTGACACGTAGGCCGAAGCTGTACAGACTTTCCACGGCTTTGAGGCCCGCGAAGGCCCCGCCCAGGATTACTACTTCACGGCAGTCATTTTTCACCACAAAGGATCGGATGGTCTGCAGATCAGCGAGGGTATGCAACGGGAACACATTGGCTTTTCTTATACCTGCAATAGGGGGAATAGCGGGATCTGCGCCCAGCGCAAGGATCATCTTATCGTACGGTAGGTCATAGGTGGTGTCGGTCTTTCGACATCTCACGGTAACCGAATGATGCTCCCTCGAGATACTGACAAGCTCGGTACAAACCCGCACGTCCAGGTTGAATCGAGCACTGAGCCCTGCGGGGGTTTGCAGTGCGATCAGCGTATCCCTTTCAATGACACTGCCCAAGCTGTAAGGCACAAAAGAATTCGTGTAACTGATGTAGGAGGCTCGTTCAATAACGATGCTTGACGCGTTCTCATCCAGCCGCCGTGCTCGAACCGCTGCTGACATTCCCCCCCTGGCGCCACCGATGATGACCAGCCTCAACTTTTCGCCTTCAGTAGTCATCCCGCCGTCTTTGGACTTGGCTGACTATTGTCACTGTGTGCTGATTCCTGGCACAAGTATGAAAGATGCAATTTATTTCTCAACATTGTGCGGACATCCTCGCTGCAGACTAAATGTCTCGCGATCTCAACTGGACGTCAAGACGAGGAGCGGAGATTGGCATGACGTCGAAACATCGGATCCATGGATCATGGGCAATAAAGTCAACACAATAAAGTCAATGACGCCTTTGTCACAGCTGATCAGAGTCTCGGAGCCGAGGAATGTTTAGATCCCTCCCAGCCTATTGGATGAATGGAAACCTTGATGGCTATAACCCCGTTTTCTTTCGAAAGGAATGGCCTGAGCGTCGCGTCGATGAATATCTCTGCATTGCCTGTAGTACAACAAACTGAGCCTCCTTTTCGAATGACAATGCTTCCCAGGCAAGGACTGTCGTTCAAATTCGCCAGAATTAGAATTGTTACGGAATGCTAGCATTACATTTCTACGAGTGTTCAATCATTCCAGTTGCAGATACTATGAACATGTGGTGCATATACATGAGTGCTCTGCATTGTAGCAGCAGAAACTTATAGAAGAAGGAAAGGAGCAGCCAACAGGTTTTCTTTTCCCACAACGCCCTAGTATTGCACACGATTCAGTCTCTTAATCAACTGTTCAAAACCTCCAAGCGAATATGCGCGTCCTCGCTGTCATCAACTTTTGCCTCGCGACCGGTGCAGTAGGCCAACTTCAATGCGATGCCGGGGCCAACTACTGCGGCTGGTACTTGGCCAGTAACCTCGGTGAGCGTCGGAAAGATCTCTGCATGATGCAGCTGCTGACTTGCTTGCAGGATGGCCGGGCATCCCTGACACCATGGGCATCTGGGCTTGCAATAGCGACCGCTACTCGGCAGCTTATGTCGAACACTGCGCCTTCAACTGCACCGGACCGACGGCAGCATGTATCCTGCCAGCGAGTGTCGGAACCACGTCGTCCTCCTCCTCGTCCTCTTCTTCCACCACCTCCACGTGGCTGTCGTCCTCCACAACGAAGCCTGGAACGACGACTGAGGACACTGATTTCCCGAAGCTTCACTGGGGCCGTCCTGGTAATTAGAGCCAGTCGTTCGTCTGCGAAGGACAGATTTAGTCAAAATGCCACCCTTGTGCGTCCACCATAAGGTCTTTTATGTACTATGGGAACTGTGACGTGCTGTCCAAGTAATGATATATGGGTTCTTAAGCTTCAATCGAGAATTAGACCGTATGAAAATAGCGATTTGGAACCATTCTTCCAAAGGACTAGGTACTATACCTCTCTTGGAAGCGACTCGCATATAGCAAACCTTCATGAGTAGAAAGGAATAAGGAATATTATTGGCGATTTGAGTTGGGCCCACATGGATCGCTGGGGATGCAGGCGGAGGTGCCGCCAAAAACGAGATCTTGGCATCAGGTTGAAAATCAATCATGGTAATCATGGTAATAGTGGTGTCATCAGTATACGGCTAAATCATATGGTAACTTCCAAAGATCTCATGATCTCTGGAGTAGGTCTGACCTTGCCTGAACCGGCCGAGTGCGGGATCTGTCCCATCCAAGGAACCAGAGACTGACAGAGCTCGTTGGCGATTGGGCTCCAGGCTTTCGGCCTTTCTGTTGAGTATGGAGTGACCATACTTCGTTCAACCAGTGCATATGGCCTATTTTACAACCTAAATCTCCCGTTGGCTAAGGTACCGTCTGGCAGTCCCGACTTCAAATATTTCCAGTTAGGGCAGCAAGAGAGTCTTATCGCATGTCACGTGCTGATAACACGACCCTGCTCCACGCGCTTGGACGCGATGCGCGTCGTTGATACAAGCAGAATGGGACTATCTCCGCTCTGGGTTCGCATTGTCGCTTGACACCATACACACTCCTCCTTCAATGCGGAGCACTTATCACGGGCTTCGCGGAAATTCATCAATGACCAATTGATATCTCTACTATGAACATTATAATCTAGTTACATCGAACACACCATGTCAGCTCCGTCCACACCGCGGACGGCGCGCTCCGCGTCTAAGAGTGGCACACCCGTCCTCACACCAGGAAGAAAGATCAAAGCCATCCTGGCTGCATTCGATAGCGATTCAGAGGCAGACAATGGCAGCAGCAATCAGCGAACGATACGCAAGTCAGATGAAACCATGAATGACGCGGAAAGCGAAGAAGACGATGACGACGACATTGTCATGCCCAAGGGCCGGCTAGCGGCTCGCATGCAAGCTCAGAATCAGACAAGCGCCAGTCCGCCGGTGACGGGACAAACGGCATTCGACCGTGTTTCGAAATTCTTACGAGCCGAAAGAGCGCAATCTAAGGAAGGCGAGCAAGCGCGTCATGAATCTGCTTCTGCTTCGGAGGACGAGGATGATCTTCCTACGGCTGGCCCTAGGAGGAGGCGCAATGCAAGGAAGACACCGGAGCCAGGCGAGGACAACACGCCTCGCTCGCCATCTCGCGCTCGGTCGTTCTCTCCTCTGTTCATGTCTTCTCCCGCGCCGCAACGCAATGACGCAGTCTCAAACGACGAGGCGGACGATGACGACGAAGAGGATTTGAAAGCCGACCCTCGCGTTCGCGCGCTCATCATGCAGAAGCGGAAGGAGCGCGAAGAAAAGGAACGTCTCGAAGCGGAGAAGAAGGCGGCCCGACTGGCGCAGAGAGATCAGTTCAGCTCGGAAATTGCTTCAGTGGAGGATAGCGATGACGAAGAAGCTGGACGGAAGCTAACACAGAAACGGCCCGCTGCTCGTAAGGCTAGCAAAAAAGCTTTGGAAGAGATGAATCGGGAAACGCAGAGAATCAGCAGGAATATGCAGCTGGCTCATCAGGCGCAAACAAAGAAGAAGATCACCAAGGAGAGCTTCTTTGCGCGATTCAACTTCATGCAGCAGGAGGACTCGAATGTCGCAGCACAGACTGGGGAGAATTCGTCCACGACAGCTGGGTCTCAGCAATCCTCGGACAATGAGGGCCAGAAAGCCAAAGAAACGCCGCAGACTTCACCTGTTCTTGGTCCATCGGATAAGCACAAGTCCAGTGAGGTCGTGGATGAAAGTAACAAGGAAGGTGGTGCTGAGCTCGAGGTCGAAGACTTCCCTACGGTCGATGAGATGCTGTCTAGACCGCAAGGCCAACCTCAGCAAGTTACTGTTGGACGTGTAGAAGCGAAGGGAAACGAAAACAAGAGACCCCTCGAACCGGCGAAACCCGAACGAAAAGCTCTGACGCAGCCTCCCATCCGCGTGCGACTGTCCCGACAGTCCGTCGCTCAAAATCAACAGGAGGATTCAGAGGACGATCTGGAGGTGGTTACTGACCCGGCCAAATGCAGGCGTATCGCGGCGTTCGAAAATCTCCCGGCAAAGAAGATGCAGGAATCAGCGTCTATGCTCAAGCTGAAAGCATTGGCTCATCTTACTTCACCTACTCGGCGGAGTAAGACTATGAATACAGCAGAACTCTCGGCCATGCTTTTGTTACAGGCGAGGCAGCAAGCCGCCAAAGAAAGACAGGAGAGGATACAAGAGCTACGGGCTAAGGGAGTAATCATTGAGACCGCTGAAGAGCGTGCTGCTATGGAAGATGAGCTGGAAAATCTTGTCGAAAAGGCACGTCAAGAAGCCGAAGAGATTGCCAAGAAGGAGAGAGGGTCTAAAAACAAGAAAACAGAGGACGGGGATGACGACGAAGACGAAGACTTTGAGCTCTCCGGCTCTGATCAAGAAGGCTACGGCGATGGTGAGGGAGAAGAAGAAGAGGATGAAGACGACGAAGAGCACGAGCAAGGATTAATTGACTCAGAAGCTGGTGAGGATGAGGAGTCCGAGGACGAACAGACCGAAGTCATGTCGGCAGATGAGTCAGAAATGCCGGCTGCGCGGCGCAAACGACCAACTCGAGTAATCAGCGATGACGAGGACGAAGATGAAGAACAGGCACCCAAAACACCGGCCAGGCCGGCTTATTCAACAGTAAACTCAGTGGAACGGCCTCAGTTCCCTGGTATGACCTCTGACGGACTGACGATGAGCCTCACACAAGCCTTTGCTGGTACACTTGGGGCCAGTCAACCAGTTACCCAGGCAGGCTCGCCAGCTATTCCGAACTCTTTGCCTGATCCTGCACAAATCACTCACAACCGCCGGGATTCGGATTCTCAAATCATCATCAAGGATAGCCAGGAGCAGCGCGCCGAATCGACGGACATATTGGCAGGTTACACTCACTCCGAGACCCGAGTCTCCGAGTCACCAGCACCCAGAGCCATGTCACAGTTTTCTCAAATCCCTGACCCTACGCAGGATGCCGGCTTTGTACTCTCGCCCTTTGATCCGTCCAAGAGATTTCTGGAAACCCCCCATTCGACTATCGAAACCGTACTTGTGGGACAAAACGAATCCCCGAACAACACCCCTGTTCCTGACAGGAGAGCGAAGCATCTCCGGCGTGGGCGAGTAGCAAACTTGTCCATGATTGAAGAGCAAGAAGAAGGGGGATTCGAGATCGATGCCAGTGCTTTTGATGTCATGAAAAAGGCAGCGAAGAAGAAGACCCATGTTCCATTTGACCCGAAGACCAGCAAGGCCAAGGAGATTGTGGAAGATGCCGCCGAAGAATCCGATGACGAATATGCCGGTCTTGGAGGCGCTAGTGATGACGATGAAGACGAGGAAGATGCCTACGATCGACAGATGATCAACGACAATAGTGGAGAGACGGTGGACGAGAAGCAGCTGGCTGCTCTGAATGCGTACGTTCCACGCATTGATGTGTCTGAAGATGTTCACAATCTGACCTAGTTACAGGCTCCACCAGAGAAATGCGGATGAAAAACAGGTCGCCAAACTGTTGAAAGATATCACAACCGGTGCACTCCGCCGCCGGAGACATGCAGACGATGAATTCGACCTAGATGATTCGGACGATGAGCTGCTTGCGCGTCGGCGGCAAAAGCAAAGGGAGTTTGCGCGAATGCGAAAAGCTCTCCTTGCCGATGAAAAGATCGGCGAGATCGCCGAGAACCCTAAGAAAGCGGCGTTCTTCAAGGCGATCGAGGATCGCGATTCGGATGACGATGTCGGTCTCGATTTCTTGGACGATGAGCAAGATCCCGGATCACAAGAGGACTCGTCTCAAGGTGTAGCATCAGACGCACCACAGCAACAGTCGGCCGCGGACGAGAGCAAAAAGAGGAAGAGACCTCTCGAGCCCTCAGCAGAAGACATCAACAACCGTCCTCCGCCTCATTTACGTCGCAAGCCAGCGAGCGCTATATCCAAGAAGCCCGCCACTCTCGCCGAGATCCGGGAAACCGTCTCTTTCTTGACCGAGACGCCCGAGTATGACTCTTTCCACGAAGATGCGTCGATCGATGATGTGGATGAGGCACTGCACGGCGATGAAGATGACACCGGCTCAGCACAAGAGCAGCCAAAGGAAATCTTCGCTGTCCCCAGCCATCCACGCCGCACAAGAGGTCCAGTTGTTGACCGTCTTGCACTGCTCCGACAGGCATCATCCAACTCTGCCACGTCCGCTTCTTCCAGCAACCGTCTAGCATTCTTCGCCGGTGGAGGTAACGACTTGACCTTCCGTCCTCCCATGCTGCGCAAGACTACAACCAGTTCGTCTTCTAGTTCTACGTCGTCCAGGTCGGACTCGTCAAAGCGAGTCACCAAACCCGCTGTTGGAGCGTCTGTTGCCAAGAAAGGCGCGGTCAATTACTATACTGCCGCAAGAGAGAGGGAGCGTGAGCGTGAGATTCGGGCCAAGGACCGCTCTGGTGGCTCCAACATTACAGCTCTGTTGAACAAGCATGCCGCTAACCGGCTAGGTTCTCTGGGAGGCACAGGACGATGGGAGTGATTAAAGATTGTACTGAGACAAGCTACTGCGTATTGGTCTGAGTTTGTCCTGGCGTTTCATTGGGTCGAGGTCATGGGTTGGGGTCTTGAACGAGCATATCATACATAGGCTTTGATAAGAGTTTAGCGATAATCTAGTATTCCCAGCAATTGAGTTCATCTTCATTGCTTGTTGATCGAATGACATCGCTTCCCGTTATCTCCAACCTGGCACGCTAGGTGCGGTGCCTGACGGCTCAGGCAGGACCATGGTTGACTCACCACACCGGATAAACACTCGGTCCGGACCACATCGGCGTCGGCAACAAAAAAGGCACGCTTTGCCCCTCAGCAGCGGCATTCCTTATCTCAGTCTGTCTGATCTTCACACATTGGAAAGTCAGATTTTGCCAACCATGGCGCCAACAGGAGAGACTACCCTTCCCGAGCGGCCAAAGGAGACAGCTCCTCCTGCAGAGCAGAGCCCCGCCTCCGCAGGCGAAAAGCCCGTTGAAGAGAAGCCCGCCAAAGCACCCAAGCAGAAAGCTCCCAAGCAGAAGGCACCCAAGAACCCGGACGGCAAGAACAACAGCAATAACAATGGCAAGAAGGGAGGCGGCAAGCCCAAGGGCGCTAACGCCAAAGAGGCTGCGGTTGATCTGCGCTCTCTCGACCCCGAGGCCATGTTCAAGGTCGGTTTCCTCGCCGATGTATACCAGGAACGGCCCATCTCCGAGAAACACCCCAAGATCCGGACCCGTTTCCCTCCCGAGCCCAACGGCTTCCTGCATATCGGTCACAGCAAGGCGATTGCGGTCAATTTCGGCTTCGCGAAGTACCATGGCGGCGAATGCATCCTGCGCTTCGATGACACGAACCCCGAGGGGGAGGAGGAGATGTACTATCGGGGTATTGAGGATATTGTGAGCTGGCTGGGATACAAGCCTGTCCGCATTACTAATGCTAGTGACAATTTCGACCGTCTGTATGAGCTCGCGAAGGATCTGATCCGACGAGATGGCGCCTATGTGTGCCACTGCACCAAGGCTGAGATCAAGGCCCAGCGTGGCGAGGCGGATGGTGAGCGGGGCAAGGCGAGATACGCGTGCCCTCACCGGTCGCGTCCTATTGAGGAGTCGCTGCAGGAGTTTGAGGCTATGAAGGAGGGCAAGTACAAGGCTGGAGAGGCTGCGCTGCGTATGAAGATGGATTTGGACGATCCTAACCCCCAGATGTGGGATATCTTCGCGTGGCGTATTTTGGACGTCGATGAGAAGGGCCACTTCCGCACTGGTGGCCAGTGGAAGATGTATCCTACGTACGACTTTGCGCACCCTCTCTGTGATAGCATCGAGGAGATTACACACTCCCTTTGCACGGTTGAATTCGAGATGTCGCGGCAGTCTTATGAGTGGCTCAACGACAAGCTCGACGTTTACCGGCCGATGCAGCGCGAGTACGGTCGCTTGAATCTTACAGGTACCGTGCTATCGAAGCGTAAGATTATTGAGCTGGTCAAGAAGGGCTATGTGCGGGGTTGGGACGATCCTCGACTGTACACGCTGATCGCCATCCGCAGACGCGGTATTCCTCCTGGCGCCATTCTCTCCTTCGTCAACAACCTCGGTGTCACCAAGGCTACTGCCATTGTCCAGACAGTCAAGCTTGACCAGGTTGTCCGTCAGTACCTGGAGACTACCGTGCCGCGTCTGATGGTTGTTCTGGAGCCCCTCAAGGTTGTCATCTCGAACCTGCCCGACGGCTATGAGGAGATGGTGGAGGTTCCATTCTCCAAGGACCCGGCTTTCGGCTCCCACCTCGTGCCTTTCACCAAGACCGTCTACATTGAGCGCAGTGACTTCCGCGAGGAGGACTCGCCCGACTACTTCCGCCTTGCCCCCGGAAAGACCGTTGGTCTTCTGAAGGTGCCTTTCCCTATCACCGCCACCACCTTTGACAAGGACCCTCAGACCGGCGCGGTTACCTGCGTCTACGCACATTACGAAAAGCCCGAGGAAGGCTCCGACGCCCCTCCCAAGAAGACCAAGACGTATATCCACTGGGTTGGCGAGTCGGCCGCCCACAAGAGTCCCGTCAAGGCCGAAGTTCGCGCGTTCAACTCCCTCTTCAAGTCCAACGATCCCAACGCCCATCCTGACGGATTCCTGGCCGATATCAACCCCGATTCCGAGGAGATCTATGAGGGCGCCTATGTCGACATTGGATTCCACGACGTCTCCAAGTCGGCTCCCTGGCCCAAGACGAGTGGTGAGACGGGAGGCGAAGTGAGCCCCTACTCCATTCGATTCCAGGGTATGCGGACCGCATACTTCTGTGTGGATACGGAGTCGACGGCGGACAAGGTGGTCTTGAATCGCATCGTCACTTTGAAGGACACTCAGGGTAAAACCTGAGACGTATAGCTTCTCATTAAGAAAACATCTGCTTACGTTTATTTACCCTTTGGTATCTCTCGGGTGTTGCATGCATATCTAGTATGATTAATGTGGTACATGTGGTCATGAGCATAAGAGGAGCTTTGTCATGTTAGAGGCGAATATGTTGAGGCATTCTGCACTTACCTGGAATAGTGGCATTGGGTAGAATTCTCATTGCGTTTGGGTAGTCACGATGTACACATCGTGTTCATCTATATGCTTCGAGCTCTGGAATCAAATCCATAAGCGAGTGGATAGTCTTATTACCTTGCGTGTCATGGGCGACGCCCCCACGAGGAAGATAGTACCCATCCCATCCGGCATTCAAGGCAGCCTGATAGTCCTTGTCAAAGTCATCCCCAACATGGACACAAACCCAGTCGACACCCGATTCGCCCTCGTCCCCAAGCAAGCGCCGAGCCTGCCTCCTCGCCACGTCGAAGATGACCCGACTCGGCTTCTCCTCTCCCGCCTCGTAGCTGGTAATCACCAGATCGACATCATCCACTTTATCTATCGTAGACGAATCCTTGCGGTTGGCCTCCCTCTCCTCAAACCCCGGCAACCGCATACTCTCAACCCCCTGATCAGCCCGCACATCACCCACCGTCAACCCCAACGCCTTCAGCACCGCCGGAACCCGATCATCCGAATTCGAAATCACACCCACAAGCACGCGCTCAAACGGCCCAAGCCCCCGCCGCCGGCTCTTCACCGCCCTTATCACCGCAAGGAACGGGCCCACGTCGTCGAAAAGCGCATAGCCCTCGCTACCCGCGAAGCGATCAAGAAGATGCGACACCAGCGCATCGGGAACGGCACCATCGACTGAGCTGCTGCTGCTTCCCTGCCCCCTTGTCGTCAGGGCCTGCGCGAAACTCCCTCGGATGACCTCCTCCCACCACTGCCGTGGCCCGCCATACCGGCCGCGCAGGACATCCTCTCGGCCGTAGTTTGGGTGGGTCTGCGACTGTCTCTTGAATGTTGATTTGAAGGCTGCTTTGAGGCCGTCAGCTGTGATGGTTGAGCGGGGGAGGCCGAAGGCGTGCGCGGCCTCGGCGTATTGTTCAGGGACTGGGCGGCGGGGGTGGAAGACTGTGCCGAAGGCGTCGAGGGTTAGGAGGAGAGTTCGAGGCTTGCGATGGCTCATGTTTCTCCGTTGGCTTGGAATTGGTTGTGGAGAGTGTTGTTGTGTTGGGTTGGTGGTGAGATATAGTACAGCATGACTAAGCAGGGCCGTAGGGCAACACCCCCCACCTAAGCAACTCCGATATCAGGGATCCCTGGTTATAGCAACGGGCCGCAGTGGAATCATACTGGTTTATTCTACGCAATCGCTCGATATTGGCAAAATAAGTAGCCTGCTGAATTCATCTATTCGTCCTTAATACTATACTGCAGATCAAAAGGTGTACAGTTGCTTAGTGAGGTGATTGATCACCTGATTAGTCCGCCGGTATAAATTGATGGGAGCTACATGAGGCCTTCTGATTACCGCAAGAGGCAGGCAAGATGAATTCAACAAGTTCAGCAGCGTTGACAGCAGCAATTACTGCTGCAGTAGGGGCTGCTAGTGCTTCTGCTATCGTAACAACTGTCCATACGCTTCATATTCTGCAACTGAAGCAAAAAAGACGTCGTAATGAGACCAGAAAAATACGTCGCCGTCGCCCGCTGCTGACGCGTCGTCGCCCTATTTTCGCTCGTAGCGCTGGAAAGATGGCGCAATCTGGAAATCCCACTTCCGACTAGCTCGTTCTCCCTTAAAAGTCATGAAGAGACGTCGATGATATGACCACGATCATGCTTTTTGGGGTTCTGTCTCGAGATGATGAGCTGCATAGGCGTTCTCGCGCTCCTGGTCAGTCTGGCAACGGCCTCGTCCACCGTCCAATTCCCTGACAATGCCAACCACATATTCAACGCAATCCATTCGTCTATGAGACAATGGGGCTCGTCTCTCCATCACAATGGGATGTCCTTTTTTCTCGCCTCCGTGCCTGCAGGCACCCAGCTGTACCACGGCACGCACCAGCGCGATCGAGTGAATGGGACTGAATGGCTCGCCTTTGAGCCCGAACACGCGATGGTCTTTGCGAGACCGCTCGGACACGGTCGTGGGCCTCCCCCTGGCGGTCCTGATGGTCCTGACGGCCCTGGTTCTGGTGGCCCACACGGTTCTGCGTTCCAAAAGCTGCTGGGACTGGTTGGCGAGACTCAGAATGACTCTGAATCCGGAGGATGGTTGCATACATATGCGGCTGCCAAGGACCTGCGACTTGTGTATATCGACGGAATGTCCGCCGCCAAAACCTCGAACGGGACGCTAGACTCTCAGGATCGCATTTTGCTGCGGGATGCGCTGGATGACGGACAGGGGGGCGGGATGCGAGACGAAAAGCGGCGCGCGGAGACGATCTGCCGGATGGCGAGGGAGGAATGGGAGGATCGGATTGACGGGGTGATTCGTATGGAGGCCGGGTTTGAGATTATCTTATGTGATTTTGCTCGCGATTTGGACCTGCTGCAGGTGGTGCAGGTGAAACCTGATGGTAATGGCCCCGGTGGCCCGAGAGCTGGGCCTGGACGCGACCCTGACGGGGGCAAAGGGAAGGGAAAGGGGCCTGGAGGATCGGGTGGAGCGAGCCGGTGGTTGAAGGCCATTGCGGCCCGGTACAATGGGATCGGGGGACACAGGGTAGCGTTGAACTACGATCACTTTGTCACGGCGTACACCCACGGCTTGGACCTTTTCGCCTCGGCGGAGGGAGGGAGTAGTCTACCACGACTGCAGCACCTGTCGTCTGCTGAACTGGATCCCATCCGCAGGGATTTACACCGGTTGATCATGACTCACGGCACGAACGAGTCTTCATTCGACTGGCAGGCCGTCACGGATATGGTAATTGAGCGCTACGCACACGAGCTGCGGTACCTGGCTTCTGGGAAACTCTCGACTACGGAGCAGCTGCATGCGGAGCTGGAGATCATCCTTAGCCCGTTTATCGACTACAGCGACCGGAAAATTACGCTCGAAGCAGATCGATGTAGCGCGCAATTCCTGTCAGCGCGCAGTCCGACGAAAGGAGTAGCTGCACAGGCTGTCCTGTCCGTTGCTCGGACGATCTGCTCGACTCTGCTGGAGGCCTGGGGTCAGACGGACTACAGACTTGCAGTGAAGCACATTAACGATCTGGTGGAGTATCTGTCATGGACAACCTGGAAGGAATGCACTGGATGCGGCGACCATGAGATCTGTGTTGTGCCTATCTGGCCGATGGGCACAGTGGAGGATTACGAGCATCCGCAGTGCCGCGATGCGAATCAACCAAATGGGGAGGGTTCTAGATATTGGGGAGGTATGGGACCGAGATAGCTACGTTCGGATATATCCTTTAGTTCGTGTGATTACTTCGCATTTGAAGCTATATACTTCATTCTATGATAATTAACATATGATAATGCCGGGTGTATACATCCTACCAGATAGATTGATGGAATTCCCGAGCAAGGAATCAGATTATATCCGAGAATCGGGATGGATTTCTAGTTAGGACTCTATCTCCGAGAAAGCTACTGCTGTGACTCTGTGGAATGATGAAATAAGAGAAAATTGCCCCCGTGGGGAACATTTGCCGGCGTGGGGAAGAGGACAAGACTTCCTGCTTCCTGCTTTCTGCACTGATTACCGACTGCATGGAATCAAAGAACGAATAAGAGTCAGTTAAGCACCGAAATCCAGCAGAAAATCACCAATTGCCACTGAGCATTCTAGCATAGCGATCCATAATAACCGTTAGCTCACCTGTGGGACGTGGGACTGTGGGAGTTCCCGCGGAAAAGACTTCAACCGACCCATCATCATCCACGCCAAAGTCAAGGTCTGGATGAATCTGAAGACGAGGTCATTATTTAAGATATCAGACTCGCTCGAGATGCGTCTATTGTCGTAGAGTATTCAGTCTACCCTCTGAGTGTCTCTTTAGCTAATCTGCACATCCACCATGGCGCAGACACCTCAGGATCTCAAGATCGCCATCATCGGCGCAGGTGTGTCAACTTTGCATCTGAGCAAGAGTCCCTTAGAACTGGCACTAACGAGGATAGGTATGGGCGGGTTGACCTGCGCACTGGCGCTGGCCAAAGAAGGATTCAAGCACATCGATGTCTTCGAGTACGCTGCCGACCTGGGCTTCGTGGGAGCAGGCATCCAACTGGCCCCCAACATGGCGCGCGTGCTGGACCGCTTAGGTGTGTGGAAGGAGATCGAGGCTGAGGCTGTAGAGGTCAAGGACACAAGTGTGCGGGGTATGTTTCAATCATACTGCATGCTCTGCTTAGTGCTTACTGACTGGGACAGTTGGCGCTACTGATTCTGAGCTCGCGCACGTTCAACTCGGCTACATCCGCGAAACATACGGATACCCTCACATGGTCGGCCACCGGCACTCGCTGGCCAACGGCCTGTACAATGGCTGTCTGCGCTACCCCGACCAAATCAAGTTCCACTTCTCCACAGCAGCCGAGAACATCACCTCGTTCGGCCCCCGTGCAACCTTTACGGCCGTCCCCCGCGACGGCAGCGCCCCCTACCAGGTCGAGACGGACGTCCTCCTCGCCGCCGACGGCATCAAATCCAAGACGCGCGTCGCGATGCTCGAGAAGCTCGGCATCACCGCCGCCGTCAAGGACACGCAGCAGGCCGCATACCGCATCATGATCCACAGAGACCAGTGCAAGGACGACCCGGAGCTGCTTGCGCTCATCAACAGCAACCGCGTAACACGCTGGATCGGCGAGCGCCGCCACATCATCGCCTACCCGGTCTCCAACAACACCATCTACAACCTCTCCACCACCCAGCCCGACACCAACTTCGCCGCCGCCACCAACGCAACCTACACCACCAAGGGCTCCAAGTCCGCCATGCTACACGTCTTCGCCGACTTCTGCCCCCTCGTCCAGCGCATGCTCAACTACGTCCCCGAAGGCGAGGTCTGCGAGTGGAAGCTGCGCGTCCACGAGCCCCTCCCCACATGGGTCCACGAGCAGACCGCCCTCGTCGGCGACGCCTGCCACCCTACCCTGCCGCATCTGGCGCAGGGCGCTGCGCAGGCCATCGAGGACGGCGCGACGATCGCCATCGCCCTGCGCCGCATGCCAGACACCTCGCCGGCGAGCATCACCCGAGCGCTGAAGGTTTACGAGAGGGTGCGCAAGGACCGTGCGTATGCGCTCGTCGAGCTGGCGGCTGCTTCGGGGCGGGCACTGCACCTGGGTGAGGGTGCCGCCAAGGAGGAGCGCGACAAGCAGTTTGCGGCGCTGAGACAGGGTAAGGGGCCGGTGCCGGATAAGTGGGCGGATGCGGATGTGCAGCGGGAGATTTACGGGTTCGATTGTCAGAAGGTGACGGAGGAGAGGTTTGATGAGTACTTTGCGTAAGCTTTTTCTTTTCTATGACTCTGGCACTTGCTGTGTATATGTATATAGTTGCTGATGGGATAGACATCACTCTCGCGACGCCAAACTGGCATGATGATATGATTAAGCTAGATTTACTGCATATATCTTTATATCCAATCTTCTGTTCCTGTCTACTTTAGCCTTAGATCAAGATTAAGCTTCAGTAGAGCCATGTATTCGCTGGCAGTTACGGGAAGTGTCGGGCAATTCGAGCCCTAATCAGGAATTCAGCATATACATCGGCCGTCGGCAGTCGAGTCGGCCCCGCCAGAGTGCATCATCACCGTATGTTCGCGAAATTCGCACAACGCAGGGACTATCCAATGTCTCTGCCATTAGTATAGCCGATGAATGAGAAGAAATAATTACCGATAAAACTATTCTGTAGGTATAGTTGTAGTTACGTCGTTCTGGACTGCGCCTAGTTATGGCGAACAATCTACATAAATAGCTTAGTCCCACTCCACGTCGACATACCCCCACTATATGTCTAAATAAACTCTTTAAGGCACCTATGCAATCATGTTCTGAGTGTCCCGGCCTTCCTCGGTTCTGTGCTTCCTGCAGCGCAAAAGTAAAAAACTGCACGAGGTTCCTAAGGATGATCCCTGCTTGAAGTTTACGCTGGTAGCATAGTAAGTCTGATACCCACTAAGAAAGAAGCTGATTGTATAGAAAAGTTCCTACGGGGAAAGCACAGACTTTGAACGGTATGTTCTTCTTTCGTAAACGAGACGAGACGCGACGCTATGTGGATGCAGCCGCTGATATGATCAGGATGTGTTTGCTTGGGTTAAGACTCCATAGCCGTTTTATTTCAATCTAATCTAATGGTTTGTCTGTGTGCTTATTCAATTCTTAATCCAATCTAACTCCTAGTGTATGTTGCCTGGTCCAACATAACATGACACGCAAATAAACAAAAAAGAAGAATCATGGGCAAGTCGCTAACATAACACATCACACGGTCGAATAAGCAAAGGATAGATAGCATACCATGGTGTATGCCGCAAGCATGTAGAAACGCTTGTAGGTCTTGCGGTCATAAGCTGCTTTTCCCCAGCTGAACGCGCATCGAAGGCCTGAAAGAAACGCAAAAATTGAGTGCAGTAGTGCCATGATGACGGTGCCGTTGTATATCCAACGCTGGTCGGGAAGCTCCTTGTCTTGACCGTCCCTATAGAGCGTGCCAGTAATAATCAAAGGCATTACTCCAGTTCCCATAACCAAAAGAGCAGTCGCCCAGCGTAGAGCTCTATCCCATCTGGGCCCAGCAATGACTGGCAATGTCCGGCGGTTCATCTTCCTGTCCCCCTCACTATCATGGAATTCCTGCATATGGATGGTGAGCATGACCCAGGCTGAAAGGACGAGGTAAAAGTTGGTCGGCGGCAGAGGAAAGGATGGAACTTCGCTGTAGATAATCTCGTCGATCAGCCGGAACATGTTGTAGACGCCCACGGAGGCGAAGGCATTGCGGAACATAAAGTGGTTGAACTTTGGCCAGACATAACAGAAGAACGTCCAGAGCTGGTACCAGATAAAGAGGCTGCAGGCCTGGGAGCCCGCCAGGTAGTATGCCAGGAATGGACAGACGACCCAGCTGATTGACCAGCGCTTGCGACCACCGGCGACTGTGAGCAGACCAGAGGGAATGGGACGTTGAGGTTTGTTGATTCTGTCCTCCTCGACGGAGGTGACCTGGTTGACAATCTCAAAGACATAGAGATGGCAGATGAAGAGGAAGACGGTCTTTAGGAGAACAAACGAGAGCTGTAGCCAGGGGGTGCTGTCAAGTAGACTAGGAGTAGGCAGGAAGCGAGCCAGCATGCCAACGACAGGTAGCACAAGTCCCTCACGCGCGTTGGCATAAAGGAGCCGCCAGGTGACCAGCAGCTCCTGGTCAACTCCTGTGACTGGGTGTTTTCCTTGCATTCGGGCGCGAATGGCTTTGTGCTCTTCTGGAGAATTGGATCGCTGGTAAAGAGAACATTGTAAGTGTAAATGCATTGCTGAAAGATGCAGAGGTAAAGAGCCCCGGGACCATCAAACCCGGGATGGCCTATGGATACTATAACGGGCAGTGCTGATATATAGGTTGACTATGGTGGATATCACGCTGGAAGTGAATGGTGCGAAACTCATGGCGACCTTGATATAAGGTCAGCTCTGCTCAGTCCACTCCGACCGAGACATCCGAATGAAGAAACCAGGCCTTCGGTGTCCTGCCATGTCAAAATTGTGTGGTCCATTCCATCTATAGTCAAACATCATTATCTGCATGACAAATTGGTCCGTTTTGGGTATCTTTGACGTGTAGCGGTAGGTCAGCTAGAGAACGGTTGGATACTAGAAGTCGACTGTTTTTGGACAGTGGATCATGGTACTGCAGAGCGAAACAGCCTGCAATTCCATTTCTTTTGCCCATCATTAAATCCTACCAACCAGCATGGTCCTGCAATGTATGCCTGCAACGGGAGAGTGGAGGGGGCTCGAGTGGCTGCCGTTCTGCAGTTCTGTCGGTCTGCACGAGGTGCAATTCGGAAACCGTCAAAGTTAGGCCATACTTTAGCCTGCCGCTAGGCGTCGTTGACACGCTTAGGTGCAGACGGGGTGTCCTGCGTAACCCGGCCTGCAGAACTGGATCCTCTGCCTTGGAGCTGGGTCAGGAAAGGGTTGCCTTGATGCATAATCGACCACCCAATTCCGCTATTCGATTTTTGTGCATCGATGTTCATCCCACATCTGCATGGTTAACGGAACACCACGAACTGATAGGCTTGGTGATTAATAGCTGAGCAAATATAGATGCTCTGACCTGCAGTTTGCAAGCGTCCGTCTACATTCGCAGAACATGTTTCCCCAGTGCGTGGCTAAAGGATTCGAACCAAACCTACGCGAAGGTATCAAGCTATTGCGCACGCTGACAAGTCATCGACCCCATCCGTCGAAGATCCTAGGTTGCTTATGGTAAGTGAGTAACCATCGTGGCCATTGATTACTGGCTATTAATATAGATAGAAAGTATCGTCCTGATATCCAAGCACAAATGGGGCTAAGAGGGCTTACCCAATCGAGTAACACCTCCACCATGGCTGAGCAGTCGTCTGCAATTATGACACCCTCCATAACCGGCCCCTTGGCACCGGGATTTGGCCTTCGAATAATTTTGGACGCTAGGAGACTACTAAGACTCTAAGAGAAGGAGCATCGACGTTGTAGACTCGCAAAGGTACGTTATCAGCACGTTCTGCAGATCAGAACCATCTGCACGTAACACGAACAGGTTAAACCCCCTTCATGCAATGCCTTTGCTCAGGGAATTATGCAGCGACATTGCTCGCTTGACGCACTGGACTCCATTGCTTTCAGTTGTTTCTCGATTTGACATCATGTCGAGTCCCCTCTTCTGAAGGCCCGCTCGGTACCTGCCCGTACCACTAGCGATGGCATAGGTCTACCGAGCCTGGACAATAAAAATGCGTTTCTTAGACCGCTTCTCTCCTCATCCAATATCTGCGGACTATATCCAAGAGGCCAGGTTCGACTTTCGAGTCCTGGTAACGTTCCTAAGCGTCCCAAAGGAGGGACCTGATGTTTCCCATGTTCGGGTCGTGCCATACTCGCAGCTCATCTTCACAAGGTCCGCTTGCTGGCCCCGCTGCAATCCTCCAATGAGACACTGCACAGAACCTGATAACAACCGGGTGCTGTATGATTTGTCTGCACTGGTTGCAAAAGCTTATAGGTGAGTTTAGAATGCTAGAAGGTGTACTAGTCGAGTAAGGGCTGAAAAGCCTGATATTCAGCGAGTATTCAATGCTATCAGGCCCGCCATAACGAGAGCGTCGTCATATCGTGCGTCGCACTACTGCGGACTCCTATATTAATTGAGGAGTTAGTAGGCATCCAAGCTGTGAGAATCCAGAAGAGGAACTTACACAAAGTGTGACCTTCACCATTCTAACCTTGCTAGATGAGTCAATCGTCAACACGGCTCTAAGTTTATACGATTTTGCCGTTATAATGCCTTCCGAGAAAAGCAAAGTCGGGATTTAGTGGAATAAGACAGGACGCTGAATGTCCTGTGGATTCTTTTCAAATGACTCCCTCCCCGCAGCGTAAGGCTGCCATGGCACAAAACCATGCAGCTTCTGGCACGTAAACTGGGCTGTCTTCTGACGAATAATCTGAAGTACTAGACGTCTAATTAGCAGGTGCGTATCTCGGATGTCGAATGTTGAAAGACACTCGGAGGAGCCAAGGAGGAATTGACAGAAGAATTGGGAACACATTCAGGCGATCAGGCAGCAAGCTATTTACCTGCTGTTCAGACCTTGGCCCCAATCCCTCTGATGCTGAATTCCATGTCGTTATTATCCTCTCGTGAGAGTGGACAGTTTGGATATACTTCCCTTTATATCTACTCGCTGTCTTTCCGTGTGTAGCCATAGACGTAGCTGTCTTCAGACAAACAATCGACAGTGCGTCCGCTGTTGTGCAGTAACATCTTCCTTAAATCTCTTGAGAACGTTAGAAGTGTGGTTTAGCAGAATCAGTCTGGCAGGGAGGAGGACATCTGTGTTGGTGCCTCAGGTGTAACTATATGCCTGAAGCCTTATCGCTCGCTATCGGCCGTCGCGCATCGCCAAATGAGATCATACCAGTGTGATGCATCGCAAAATCATTCAATAATATATCGCAATTTCCGAAAATATTGAAGCTACCTTTGCTCTACATTCTTTTAGATGCCCGTAGGAGTAAGATGAACTGGTATGCCTCACTAAGGCTTGCTTCAGCTAACGGTTCCTCAGACACCATCTCCGTTCCGTTTTCCTCCGCGTCCGGGTTCATCTGCTCGACCTAGTGCTGGATCTCAATTTGCATCGACTCCTCGCTTTGTGTTATCTCAGAAGCCGACTGACCCGGAAAAAGCAAAAGCAAAGGATGATATTAACACTAGTGATGCGGAGGAGTCGCCGCGATCAACGCCTCTCCCCACGGCACGTGTCGCGCCGCGGCGAAGAGGACGAGAATTAATCGAGGACTCGCAAGATGATGCGACGCATCTCCTCAACTCGGGGCTGGCGAGAGCCACCGATGATATATCTGACAGTGAGACGAACCACACAAGTCTGCTGGAGGGTGCTGGCGATATTGATGCCGCATTTGATGCGCTTTTCGGGCCGACTCCAATGGATCGCAGGAAAAGACGCCGTATATCTCTGGATGACGAACCACCTACGACTCAACCTGCAAAGCACAACAAAGATATGATCCTGACTTCTTCGCCGGAGACTTCAGCGTGCATGGTAGATCCGCCTTCATCGCCGATCTCATTCCGTACTCCAAAGCAGAGTACTCTGATAGCAGCTTCGCGGAGGACCGTAGCTGCTGCACAGCAAACGCCTAGGCCTGTAACTCCGGCAAGTACAGGACCATTCCGCGGCCCTCCTCGCTTCAAGATGTTTCAACCAGCATTGAGCAGTCAGTCGCAATTGACGGCACCATCTGCGTCGCAATTACCGACCCCTGGCCCCCAAAGACAGAAGCCAGTCTTTGTCCTGCCTCGCTCTCCGTCTCCATCACGGATGGACGATGAATCAACGATTCCAACTCCATTCTCCCCCTCCTCTCATGCTCTTCGTCGGCGAGGCCGTCCCCGATCTGGTACTGCAAACTACTTATCAGGCGGCATGGCCTCGGAAGTCCGCAGCTGGATCCTGGAAACGGGAACCAAAAGCGAACAGATACAGAAGAGTCTAAATGCTTGTTCTAGGGACCACCAGACCCAAGGAACATCTGATCTAAGCCAGTACTTCCTTGTTCTTCGCATCCTTGACGTTCGTCAGTCTGCGCTGGGAAGCTCTGGTCCACTATCTTATGTACATGGCGTACAAGTCACTCCTGACGAGTCCGAACGTGCAAACTCGCAGTCGAGGAGAGTTCTCCTTCTTGGTCCGCCTAGGCCAGCTAGCTCGCAGTCCTCTCGTGCAAGGACCCAAATTCCTGAGCTTCGCACTGGTCATCTGATCGGAGTGTTTCGGAGTCTGGTCTGGGAGGTTGGCTTGGAACAGGTGCATCTAGAGGGGAATGTGCCGAGGGAAGAAACGCAGGAGAACGAAGAGCTTGTGAGCAGTCTTGGGTGCGATAGAAGCACTGATCATCTGGAGAAATGGCTCGTTGGGATGGAATGGGAACTTATCGACCAGGGTTGAGATGGTCTCATGTACGCTTCGCTTTACTTGTTTTGATGATACCCTTGTTACTATCAGCCAATTCAAATTTCTTTGTATGACGGAAGATCCCCTGTACAGACGGCCAATATTATGATCGATTTTTGGTCACGTATAGACTCATGCAATGCTTTTCTTTATCCCACCGGACACCATGCTCCAAATAGGCCAAGAATCCTGACAGAGAACGGGAATATATACAAGAGAAAGGGTGTCGCATGCAATCACCCAAGACTAGCATCTTCACTCGCCACAACCTTCAAAGCATCCACAGCGACCCTGCATCCCCACCGAACCAACTTCTGCTCTTTCTCAGACTCTACAATATCTGTTTTCGAAACCACCTTTCGTATGAAATAGATCAATCCCTTGACGATCTGCGGCGTGTCTCGCGTGCGCAGGATGATTTCCATCAGAGGCTTCTCATTCCTCTCAGCTTCCTCATCCTGGTCCGCCTTCTTGCTCTTTTTCTTCGTCCGTTTCGATTTCTGAGACTGCTGGATGACGGTGATGATGAGGATCTCAAGAAAGGCCTTGGTCTTGGGCTGGAGGTAGGCGAAGTTGAGCGTTTTCAGCACGCTCAGCGTCAGTGCGCCGTCGGCGATGAGGCTGCCGTACATCTTGGCTAGGTTGACGGCGGATTTCATCGAGAGCTGGTTGCGCTCGTCGTTGTCGTCGCCGAACCCGGCATCTTCATCGTCCTCGTCCATATCGTCTGATTCGCCCATTCGCTTGAAGCCGTTCCACAGTGTATACATGAAGGAGATCTTCATG